GGCCAGTGAAGCAACGTCCTCCACAACTAGACTGAAGAACAAAACGACAGCAACTTGTCTGTTCCCCTTCCCCCAATTCCCCAGCACTGTTCCCCTCCCCCAATTCCCCAATAAAATCTTTTAAAAAAAACAACAATGGAATATTATTCAGCCTTAAAAAAGAAGGAAATCATGTGATTTGCCAACAATCTGGATGAACGTAGAGGACATTATGCTAAGTGAACTAAGCCAGGCACAGAAACACAAGTACTGCATGATTGCACTTATGCATGGAATCTAAAAATGTTGAAGTCACAGAAGTAGAATGGTGCTTGTCAGGGGCTGGGGTTGTGAAGGGATGTTGATCAAAGGGTACAAGCTTGCAGCCATGCAGGATGAATAACTTCTGGTGAGCTAATGTACAGACAGCATGGGGACTACAGTTAATAGTACTGTATTGCATACTTGAAATTTGCTAAGAGAGATCTTAAATGTTTTCACCACAAAAAATATAAACAGCAATACGTGATGGATGTGTTAAATAGCTTCACTGTGGTAATTACATTTCATCATCAAAACATCACGCTGTACACCGTAAATAAATACAATTTCTATTTGTGGATTAGACCTCATTAAAATGGGGTGGGAGGGATATTTAACAGATTGTGTTACCAGTCCGAAATCTGTGTGTCCCATGATTCTAAAGGCCCAAACTCAAAAAGTCAGTTTAGAGTAAGGAAAGGTTTATTGCCCAAGAAGGCACCCACTGGGAAGACGGGAGTCCTAGCAGTTCCTCAAATCCATCCTAAGAAAGTACAGACTTCAGGCTTCTTTTATGACAGGGGAGCAGAATTCCTCTGATTAGCATGTCTAAAGCCGGAGCCTTCAGCCTGCATGCCACCGGAACCACGCAGACTTGAAGGAGATGGAGATGGAGTCAGAGAGACCTGGCATCTCACTGTTGAGAATGACGGTAGGATCCAGGAGTCCCACGTCTGGGTATTTACCCAAGCTGAGGCTGAGCTCAGTGCCTTATCTGAGGTTACTTTCCAACCTTTTCTTTATTCATCATCATCATTATCATCATCATTAGCAGCAGCAGCAGCAGCAGCAGCACCACCACCACCCCTCCACCCTACCCCACCTCACCACCTCACCCCTGCCTCTTAGAAGAGAAAGTGGACACAAAGAGCACTCCTGTGGGCTGAGAAAGAAAGGGGGAGTCTTTGGCAAAAAAAGCATTGGCCCCTCCTTCCACTGGGCCAGAAGGTGCTTGATGACCTGACTCAACCAACTCCACAAGGAGGACCCATCTGTTCCATCCCAGCACAAGGGACTGGGATACATCCTTGCTGAGCACAAGTATGAACCACTGCCCTTGTCTCAGGGCTCCTCAGGCAGCAGCACAGTGAACTTGAGTTGCCAATCAGCTTTGCAATGATTCGTGTCCTTTTCTACAACCCCCTTTTAAAGCAGGGCTGCCTCCCTTTGGGTTCCCAGCTGGTTTATAGATAATGGCACTCCTATGAAGTGACATGACCCACAGGCAGGCTGTGGGCCAGAAGGGCTGAGAAGCGAATGTGATGAGACAACCTGAAGATGTGCTTTGCAGGGCCTGCGTACCAGAGCTGGAAGTCCGTCACCTGACCACGGCTCCCCATGGGCCTCCCTGCAGCCAAGCAGCCTGCGAGAAAGCCTTGAAAACAGCTGAAATAACAAGAAGGTCCGGCCGACCTTTCTGGCAGAGGGCTCTTGTTGGTTTTCCAGAGACAAAGCTTCTGATGAGCTGAGGCCAAAGAAGACAAAGGCGCTCAGGGAGTGTGGTCTCTGGGTGCACAACGCTGTTGTTTTACGCCCATATCAGGACCTGGTTGGTGCACCTGCTGGGCCAGGAGTCACGTGGGGGCTGCCAGGATGGGCCCGGGGCACCCCTAACTTGACCTCTAGACCCTAACATGTCCATGTGGGGCTGCCCCAACTCTGCAAGGTGGCTTTCTTAAGAGTGTATCTGGAGGGGTCTCAGTACCAGCTCAAAAGAAAATGCAAAGAAAACCTGATGTGCGTCCCCCACACCTTTTCATCCATCCAGCAAATGTCAACTCAGTGACAGGTTTTGACCTAGGCGCTGTGCATACAGCAGCGAATGAAACACAAAACCCGCTGCCCTCATGCCACTTAACTTTCTTGTCGGGGGAGGAAAGGAGTGAAATGAACGTGCCAGAGAGAAAAATCAAAGCAGGGAGAGGGTCAGGAGTGAGGGGGTGAGCAGGCGCAAAGTGAAAGAGGGCGGTCAGGGACAACCTCCCTGAGGCAATCTTTCTAGAAGGATCTGTAGGAGAGAAAGGAAGAAGCCAGGAGGCTACGGGAAGTTATGTCAGATATGTAGGCTCGGCGGAGAAGCCAGCAAGCGCAAAGGGCGGGCACCGGTGAGGGCCAACAAAGAGGCCGCTGTAGAAACGGTGGCATAAGGGCGGGCACATACTAGAAGCAGTCAGGAGGAAGACAGACTCCCTGAGTGGGAGAGGAGGCGGGCGGAGGATTTCAGCCAGAGTGGCAAGTTCTGTCTACATCCTACAAGACCGAGCGGCACTCTGCTGAGAAGCAGCAAATGTGTTGCAACAGGACAGGTGAGATAAGGAGCTGAGAAGTGAGGAGTCCACTGCCTCAATCCAGGCAAGTTGACAGCACCAGGGTGAGGCCAGCCCAGTGCCCAGGGCAGAAAATTTAAGGATATGGTATTCCCTGCCCTCCAATGACCCTGACAATGAGCTCCTGCTTAAATGTTGCCTCACCCTAACCCAGGCCCAAGTGGAGAGGAAAATGCACTCACCATGGCAGCCAGGACAAACAGTTATTGAGGTGATTGAATGTCTGTGTGTCATCAGTGTCCTCATGACCCCTAACTTGACCTCTAGACCCTAACATGTCCATGTGGGGCTGGCCCAACTCTGCAAGATGGCTTTCTTAAGAGTGTATCTGGAGGGGCCTCAGTCCTAGCTCAACAGAAAATGCAAAGAAAATCTGTTTTTCCCGTTATATATTTTTTTTCTTTCAGTTTTACTGACATATAATGGACACACAGCACTATACAAGATTATGGGTACAGATGACTTGACTTACATGTATTATGAAATGATTACCCCAGTAAGTTTAGCTACTTAAAATCCAGAATTTCAACAGATACAACTGTTTTTAAAAAGGGAAAAAAATGTTTTTTTGTCCTTGTGATGAGAACTTTCAGGATCTACTCTCTTAGAAACTTTCAAATATGCCACACGGCAGTGTTAACTAGTCTGGATGTTCTACCTTACATCCCCAGGACTTACTGATCTTATCACTGGAGCAAAGAAAACTGTTGATTGAATGCCTCCATCCAGGCTGGGAGAGCAATTCCGCTTAGATAATTAAAATGCTGTTTTGTTTTGTTTTGTTTTGCTTTGTTTTTTAAGCTGAAAGACCTCAAGCCAAGCCCTGTTGTTGGGAATATCACTTCGGAGAACCCAAGGATGCCAGGAAACTCTTCCACAGGGAGCATATGACATCCTGCCTGGCTTCAGGCTGGAACCACCTGTTGGGACTGTCACAGAAGGAGGCCATGTGGCAGGAGCCAATTTGGGAGCGCAGAGGTGGCATCATGCCACGCATCGAAAAACCCAGTTGCCCGGCAGAAATTATATCTGGGTCCTTGAAATCAGGTCAGAAAAACAAACAAGAGTAGATGGGCCTCTTGAATAACATCCTTTCTCTACAATTCTACCCTCCACTGGAGAAGAAAACTCATGAAGGGTGTGGTCAAGAGGAAAGGGCTCAAGGTCAGTGACCTGAAATCCACTTCCTGAAAGCCTGTTTGCCAAGTTTGTAAGAACTTTTTACAAGAGCTATTTACTTATTATTTGTGACACCTCTTACCACGGGAGTTGTCAAACACACGCAAGTGGAAACTCATACCTAACAACCCAACATCTAGATTCAACAATTGCCAACGAACACACGGCCAGCCTGGTTGTTCTGTCTGTCTGCTCTCCTACTCCTCTCCCTCATCCTCCACATACATTCGGATTATTTTGAAGCACACCTCAGAAATCATGTAATTTCATCCATAAACAATTCTAGATGGTGCTCCAAAAAAATGAGGATTCTTTCACTACCTTCTGCTAAAAACCAATCAAAGGCATTATCTACTATGTTTCCCAATGCTCTTTTGTATGATGATCTGGGTAGTAAATAACCTTGAAAAGTCCACAAGAAATCCAATAAAATAAAATAGTGACTACAACTCTATTAATAGCCCTTCTTGCAAATTAATAATTTTTAATATCAAAAATCCAATCAGTATGTAAATGTCCTATTGTCTCATCAATGGTTATCGTACAGTTGGTTTGTTCTAATCAGGATCCAAAGTCTACCACACATGGCATTTGGTTCATGTGTCTCATCTCTTTTCATGTAAAAGTCCCTCTTCTCTCTTCCCTATATTTGTAAATAAATACAATTGTTTGTCCTATAAAATTTCTCAAATTTTGGACCTGGCTGATTGCACCCCACAGTGCCACTTAAAATATTCCCAGGCCTCTATTCTCCCTATAAACTGTTGTAGATCTACAGGTAAGATCAGACTCAGGTTTGATTTTTTTATTTTTTTTTTGGCAGGCCCACCTCATACATTGTATCTTTCTCTGTGTCATATGAGCACTGATCAGTGGGTTCATATGGCAAAGTTTAATTTTTCATGAGCATAGGGAACTTTCTCTCAAATGCTACGCACTGTCTTTTCTAGTTCTGCAGATTTATCCTTTCCCCAGGTCTGATCCACTTCTGCCATGGAATGTTGCAGGATTGTGTCATGGACTGTTTGTGTGCTCCCCAAATTCATAAAATAATCACTTAACACCCAAAGTGATGTATGAGATAGGGCCCTTGCAAGGTAATTAGGGTGGGAGGAGGTCATGAGGGTGGGGCCCTCATAATGCGATTAGTGCCCTTACAGGAAGAGATAGGACAGAGCTTGCTCTCTCTTTCCAACGTGTGAGGACACAGTGAGAAGGTGGCCATCGGCAAGCCAGGAAGGGCGTTCTCACCAGGGCCGCAATCAGCTAGCACCTTGATTGACACTTTGCAGCCTCCAGAACTGTGAGAAATACACATCTGTTGTTTCAGACAGTCTATGGCATTTCATTATGGCAGCCCAAACAGACTAAGGCAGAGTCCAGCTAAGGTTTCACTGGAGAACCTCTGAGGCTGAGGCAAGGGCAGAAGTAGGGGGAAGACCAAAACTTGGGAAGAGGTGGGTGGAATGTTCAATCCAGTGAAGCAATTACTTGGAAAATGTGCCTTTTGGGGAACGAATTTTTGGGATGTGTTGGCCTGCTTCCAGAAGAATGTGTGTCCAGGATTCGGCATAGTCGTTTGTTAGCTGTGTGACTGAATTGCTCTATGCCTCAGTTTCCCCACTCAGCTGAAAAACAAAGCCAAAGTAAACTTCCTCCACCCCAAACACAACATGAGAATGATATATTGGGTTGTTGGAAAAGTCATGACGCATTTTGTCTATGTTTTGCAAAGGTCATTTATTTATATAAAGAACAAAGATCAATCAATGATATATTGCTTGCTTTGTTCAATAACCTTTTGCCATCTTTCAGTGAGCTTCATAATTCCTCATTCATAGAAGGACTTGTCTTTATTTGCGAACTGAACAAGGTGCTGATTTACAGCCTCATCGGAATTGAACATTATACCACGCAAGGAGTTTTGAGGAGAGCGAAACAAGTAGAAGTCTGATGGCGCAAGATCAGGCAAGTATGGTGGGTGTGGCAACACATCCCATCCAAGCTCCAATAATTTTTGATGGGTGATCAAACTTGTGTGTGGTCTCGCGTTGTCACGATGGAACACAACTCCTTTATAATTAACAAGCTCTGGACGTTTCTGGATGATGGATTTGTTCAAACTGTCCAATTGCCAACAGTATACATTCGAATTGATTGTTTGGTTCCTTGGTAGGAGCTCGAAAAATACAACACCTTTAAAATCCCACCACACTGAGAGCATAACCTTCCTCTGATGAATGTCTACTTTCGATGTTTGAGGCAAATCATCACATCGGGACCAAGACAGTTTGTGCACCACATTTGTTGTAAACAATCCACTTCTCATCACCAGTTATCAGTCACTTCAAAAAAGGATCACTTCCCTCACGTTTAATGAGCATATTGCAGATGTTTATACACGCCATCAAATGAACTTTTGAGTTCATGCAAAACCCAAGTATCAAGCTTGCTTACGTATCCAGCTTCTTCAGGTGGTCGTGAACGCTTGAATGTTCAAAGTTTCTGCAATCTCTCGTGTCATGTAACGTGGGCTTGACTACATCAATGCCTTTATTTTGTTGTCATCAACCTCGGTGGGCCTCCCAGACCGAGGAGCGTCATTGAGATCAAAATCACCAGCACGGAATTTCAGGAACCATCGTTGGCACTGACGTTCTTGTAGAGCATTGTCAGGGTAAACTTCAAGCAACTTTTCACAAGCTTGATGCGCGATTTTCCCTTTATGGAAGTAAAACAATAAAATATGGCAAAAATGCAGTTTGGTCTTGCATCTTCAATTTGTGGTAAAATCCACAAAACTCAACCGAATCACTCAATTTTTTTTTAAATGAAGCTAGAACTGTCAGCTGTCAAAAGACATAGCAATAACATAGATGCGAATGACTCTAGTACTTCCAAAATGAACTAGTCCATCTGTCGCAAACATGCATCATGACTTTTCCAACAACCCAATAATTCCACACAAGTGTCTGCTCTCAGTAAGTGCTTAGAAATGTTGGCTACTATTATCCCTTCTCTCAATTGTTTCTAGGATGAAAGCAATAGCAAATATGAGAACACTTTCAAAAAGTACTGTGCCAGCCCAAAGCATTACTCAAGTTAATATTAAGCAAAACGACTGGTGAAATGCAGACTCCCTGCAGCTACGGGCTGAGTCTCTGTCAGCGTGCTCTGCTGTTGGATTCTGGTAGAAGCTGCAAACACCATGACCACCATGCCAAAAGGAAAGTGAAGAGTCATTCTGGCTTGCATTTGCAAAGCTCCGAACTATAGTTCCCTGTGACACACTCCCATGGCTGTCTGTGCCATTTGGGAAAAGCCTGAGCCAGGTCCCTCTGCCTGGGCGGACTCTGGTGACAAGCTGGCATGGTCCCCGGAGTGCACTGCCTACCAGCAAATCTGGTTTTGTACAATGTAACAGTATGATGTCAAGTCGAGATGTGGAGTGGGTGTGAAGGAAACCTCTCTCTGCGCTGATGTAAACTGAAAGTAGAAAATACATTTTCATATCAGAAACATCAAAAAAAAAACTGTGTGTCCATGACCCAGGGCGGGTTGCTCCAGCAAGAAAAGTCCACAACCCTAAGAAATAAAATCCTTAAGAGCAAGGACGTCTGTCTGTTTTACGCACTGAAGAATCCTGGTACCTAGCACAGAGGGTGGCCAATCAATATTTGCCAGACTAACATGAGCAAGTATGTGAATGCATCCAACGCGAACAAGTATGGCCAAGCCTGCGCTACTCCACCCTGAAAGCCCGGCTTCCGCTCCTCACTTCCCAAACCTCAGATGACCTTGCTAAGTTCCCCATTTCTGAGATTCTCAACTTCCAAAAGTGCACTTGTTGAAATGCCGCTTTGGGTACGAATCGCACGTGTCCTGTATTCTGAATTTGATAAATCAACTCTTTGAGAGGTGGGATCACATTCTCTGGGGTGAGGTTTTTGTGGCCTGGGAGATGACTATGTCCATCAATCGTCATGAGTGGGCTGTGATGCGCAGATGCCGCCGGACAGGAGAGCGATGGGTGTGGACAGGAGGTTGAACGCTTCCTGTACCCAGTCTGGTCATGTTCCCATACTAAGCATGCAGACTCATTTAAGGAGACCGCAGCTCTCCACAGACCCTGACAGGGCAGGGTCCCTCCTTGCCTCCCATCCATAACACAGCCCTGGAGCACCCTCCTAACTTCTTTGCATCACACCTCCCTCGCCATCTGGAAATCTGAAAGTACACTGCTGCAAAAGGGTTAAGAGCTGCCTCACACTGTGTACTGTTCCAGGGAACAGCAGGGCAGGCTGTGCGTGTTTAGACAAGATGAGGAAAGCCAGCATCTCCCTTTGGGCAAGAAACACAGGAGAGCAGGTTTTTATTCCTGGGGCCGTGAGAAACATGACGGGTGGGGCAACACCAACAATTATCCAAAGAAAGCCTGATCTAACTGGGTCAAAACCCAGTGGTCCCATAACACAGCATTCTCCAATATTTCCAGTTAGGCTTCATGACCCACAACTGTGTCATAAAAGTTTAATACGATGTGCATTTATCCTAAGAGCAATGTGACTTAAATCACTTGTTCTGAGAATTTTGATTTTTGTTTTGTTTTGTTTTTAGGACTTCTGCAACAGACTTGGGCTAGCTTACAGATGCCTCCTCCAGGCAATGTTTTTGTTTGTTTGTTTGTTTGTTTCTTCTTTTTCAATAGTGAGAAGATGCCAAAACTATAGGAGCAGCAAACTCTGAAGACAGAGAAGTCTGGAAACAAACACCAGTGTTGAAATCCAAGAAAACTTACTCCAGAGTAAGACCCACCCAGAGATCCATCCCCAGCCCTGTGCAGAATGGTAGCCAGGCGTGATGGAAGTCAGGCCTCCATGTCCCTACTGCCATCCCCTACTGTCCCCAAGTCCAGCGTGCTCTCTCACCTCCTGCCTTCCTCTCATGCTGCCCACCCCTCTCTCTTCCGCCTTGCCAGCCCTTGCCAGGTCTTTCCTGCCTGTTCTAGGCTTCACGTATCTCCATCCTCCCCAGCCAAGAGTTCCAGAGCCTCATGGTGAGGCAAGCACAGTGCTAAGCTGCTAAACCCTACACGCGTTAATTCAGTCAACCAGCCACCCAGCGCTAAGCACCCCCCAAAACAGCCCTATGCAGAAAGTATTATCATCCCCCTTTCATGGATGAGCAGACTGAGGTAGAGAGAGGGTAACTAATCTGTCCAAGGTGACAGAGCTAGTGAAGGCAGAACTGGGGTTCAAGGTCAGGCTCCAGAGCCTGTCCTCACGTGTATCTTTATAGCATCTCACATCGTACCTCTCAATTACATACCCAGCCTTGCCCAGTCCACTATAGCACCTCCTGGGCTTATCTCCCCAGGCAGTGCAGGGAGGATATCTTTCTTGTCCTCATATTAACATGAACTATACTCAGTGTCCTGTCAAGTTTTTTGCTTGGATATCCTCGAACAGAATTTGGGAATACAGTCAACACCCTCTGTATTAGCCAGCTCACGCTGCCGTAACAACATGCCATAGGCTGGGTGGCTTAAATAACAGAAATCCATCTTCTCACAGCTCTGGAGGCTGGGCGTCTGCAATCAGGGTACCAGCCTGGTCGGGTTTTCTGGCCTCTCTTCCTGGCTTGCAGAAATGGCTGCCTATTCGCTGTATCCTCACATGGCAGTTCCTCAGTGTGTTCTCAGAGATTTTTTTTCTCGTCCTCTTCTTATAAAGGCATCAGTCTCATCAAAAGGATCCCCAACATCTTGACCTAGTCTAACCCTACCTCCTCCCAAAGGCCTCATTTCCAAAGACTATCATATTGGGGGGGTGGGGCTTCAACCTATGAACTTGGGAGGTGGTGGGAGGGGCGAAAACATTCAGTCCACATCGCCCTCACACCGTTTTAAGTTATCTTCAGTGTTTCACATCGTAACTTTAAACAGCTGCAAAAGATATCATTTCGATTGTATTTGTAAATGATCCTTCTATAATAAAATTATTCAACCAGTCTTTTTTTTTTTTTTTTTTAAGCTGAGCCATTCTGCCACCTGTTGGCAGCTCAGTGGCTGCTCAGCTCAGGCTGGGAATCGAACTGCTGTTGCTCAGAGCTCAAACTCTTGAGCGAGCTCTTACCAACTGAGCCACTTGGCCGGCCCTCAACCACTCTTTTAAGTGTGACCAATGTGACATATAAACACCAGGGCAGTTAGAAAACCACCATCACACATTTAGAAATTATGTGAGAATATTTCCCATCAGTTTGGAAATTTTATATCATCTTTCTTTTTTTCAAAACCGTATTGCCGTTCTATCTCAACACAATATACTTTCATGTTTGAAAGTACTGAATTACCTTATCCTTTTCTCTGAAATACAGCGACTGTGTTATAAATTAAATTTAATATTTTATACTTTACTTCAAGTATTAAAAAAGAAAACACCCTTCCAGATCAAGTTACTATCACATTACTGAGTGATCATTTATAATAAAACATACATTATAAATTTTGACAAATTATTAGTAAGCATAATTTTACTGGAAATTCATTTTTAACAAGATGGATGGAGGGATGGTACGCATTGACTTGAAGAGGCAATTTCCCTGACATAATATGTCAATGTTCCCCCAGAGACGTTTACAGCTAGAGCAGGGTACCCTAGTGCATTCCTGGCTCTGGTTAAGAAGGAGGCCAACTGTGCAAGCCTGATGGAGAACGGGGCCTGCACCACCGTGGGTCCTCAGGTGATCGGGTTTAGGAGAGAAATGATGTTCTACGAAAGGAAGGCCTCCCACAGGAGCCCCCTCGAATGCTCCTCCGAGTCATGGCTGCTCTGAAGACCCAGCCTTGAAAAGCAGGCTTGCTCCTCTATGAGCTCCAGACAAGATTCCTTCCCATCTATTTCCCCCAAGGTGAAGTTCTCACAGGCTGGTAAATGCAGTGAGCTTATTTGCAAGCCAGGGTCATATCTGCCTAGCAACCCAACATGAAGACAAGAAGGACTACAAATGTTGACAGAGAACAGGCAGGCCAACTTTGCACAAAGGAATCTGTTCTCATGCAAATGACTCTAAAGAAGATGGCTGGAAAAGGGAGCAGTGGGGATGGCTCTCAGAGCCAATTTATTTCCCCCAGAAGATGCTGAGGGACTTTTTAAGGGCATCATTACAGCCTTGCCCACTGTAAGTGAAGGGCCAAGGGGCTCACAACCACTTGGGTTGTGACAGACACAACAGAAGAGGCTAAGAGGGGAGGTGAACCCTTCATTTAATCTCCTGATTTTTCTGGTTCCTATACTCCAGACGCCAAAGGTTGTTTTGTTCAGATTTAGAACTCAACAGAGCTAGTTTTGCTTTTGTTTTGTTTTGTTTTCTGGAGGGAGTGGGGGGTTGATTACCATGGTAATGCACTGCTTTTCCTCTCTTTGCTTTCCCTAGAGAAGTGAAAAAAGCAGGGGTTTTCACGCTTGGTCTCACTCAGATTGAGGGAACAAGATGAAGGCAGCCTCTAACCAGGGTGGGCAAGAGTCACTGGTTCGTGGCTGGCAAGGCTGGGCAGAGGTGGGTTTTCAGCCACCTCGCTGTTATCCAAACACAGGTGGCAAATGTCATCCATGGATGAGCTCCACCTGCAATGTGGGCCAGTGTGTGCCTGCAAGTGTTGTGAAACCTGGGGCAATTCCCTCCAGTGCTGTGTGCCTCAACTGTTCTCATCTGTAAAACAAGGATGAGTGTCAGCTGCCGAAATCTGATGATGGGGTTAAAACTAGGTCACATGTAAGGCCCTTAATGAAGTGTTGGGAACAAAGCAAACATGTAAAAATTCATTATAATTAACATTAGTAAAAATAACAGTAACAATGCATCATGATTACCACAGTTCTGTCCCCCTAACAGCCAGCTGTCTCACTTGGTCAAATACTCAGAAGTGACTTTCCCACCCTCTGTTCACCACTGAAGCTTCCGGCTATTATTTCTCTCATTTTTAAAATCCTGAAGCTGGGCCGGCCAAGTGGCGCAGTTGGTTAAGAGCTCGCTCAAGAGTGCAAGCTCTGAGCAACAGCGGTTCGAGTCCCAGCCCAAGCTGAGCAGCCACTGAGCTGCCAACAGGCGGCAGGATGGCTCAGCTAAAAAAAATTTAAAAATAAAATAAAATCCTGAAGCTAAAGCTCCGAGACCTCTTGTGTCTTGCTTAAGAGTCACCCAGTTGTGAATGCTGGGCTGCACCCCGAGGTTGCTAAGCAAAACTGAATACAGTGAATGCTGCGTCATGTCCAGAGTTAGTGTACTAACAGGTCCCAACGCTCTGGAAGACCCTAAATATCAAAGATTACACCTATAGTCAGCCCTGTTTTAGTACTAAGTGTTTTCACTTTAGTGATTACAATCAGCTTCCAAATATCATCACCTGTGGATTCCTCAAGAACTCGGAAATAGGCTCGCTTGCTGGGCGTGTGTAGGAGTCAGCCATCCGACTTGGTGAGCCGTGAATAATAGCAATAAGAACCAATGGGCAGTGAGGGCTTGCCATATGCCAGTCACTTTGATCTGAACTTTACAGGCATCATAAATTAAACCTTTCAGTTCTGGGAGTACCCCCGTTGTCCCCATTTTACAGATTTGCAAGTTGGCGCTCTAAGGAGTTCAATTACTCCCACAAGGCTGCAAAACTCATCAGTGACCCCTGGCTGTACAGTACTGGCCCGAACAGAGCACTTTACACCAGCACACGGGCCCCCACCTAACCCACTCGGAGCTTGGTAACCACACACACAGGCCTTTAACCCGGTAGACACTATCCCTAAACCATAAGGGAAGCCAGGCGGCAAAGTGGGTTTTTTATCAAACTTCAGACCGCCCACTCCTCCTGGTGGCGACCCTCTGTGCACGCACTCCCGGATTAGGCTCTCTGGAGTTTGACATCAGAACCCCAATCTCAGAACCCCAATGAAGGGAGCAGCAGCTGGTGCCCCAAGTCAGCAGGGCGGGTGCTGACAATAAGGCCTTTGCCTCCCCGTGTAAGTCCCAAACGGGTCCTGGGGATCTGAGGTGGAGACCAGGAAACCCAGGCTGCACCACCCCCGCGGGCTTCGAAACGCCTAGGATCCCACACACTGCTTTGTCCCCAGGACGATTCATAACTAAGGTTTCCCGTGCAGCATCTGCTGAGTTCAGTGACTCTGGGGTTGGGGACGTTGGGATGAGGGTCAGGTACTCCCTAAACGTTCGCGTCCCTGTGCTATCCCGGGCTCCCCGCGGGGTAGGAGCGGTGCACCTGTGTGAACCGCGCGGCCCGCCGCTCCAGAGAGGACGGTGCGCGCGCGCCCCCGGCCGGGGATGCTGACTCAGCCCGGCTGCTCCCATCGCTTCGCTCAACGCGGATGCTGCCGCTGCTGCAGGAAAGGGGGTAAAGGAGGACACCAGTAGCCACCGGGCCGCCTGTTCCCTGGGGCCACTGCGGCACTCTCTCACCCCCCCTCCCGGAAGGGGAATGTGGGGGCGCGCGAGTTGCCGAAAAAGGGGGAAGTGGGCGCAGGAGGAGGAACTTGGGGACTGCGGCGCCGCGCGCGCAGCTCACACCCAAACTGGAAGGAACCTGTTCTGCCAGAGAAGCCGCTGCAGCCGCGAGCGCTACGTGGGACCATCCTCGGCGTCCCTCACCCAACAGCCCCAAATCCTCAGGGCGCGGGCGGCACTGGGCACGAAGGGGGTCTGCGGACAGGGAGGCAGCCGGGGGACCCCGCGCGCGCTCAACCTGGAATGCTCGCAGAAAGGGTTTAGACGCCCCCAAACATGCCCGCGCTCCCCACTTGCAGTGCAGCAAATCGCCGGGACCTGGTCCAGCCGGCGCGCAGAGCCGCGCACGAGTGTGAGGTGGGGGAGGGTCTACAGGCAGAGCGCGCAGGACCCCGGTGACGGGGGCGGCCCGGCGCCGGACTGCGACGCCGTTACCTTCCGTGACCCGCGGTTTGCCTCAGGACGGGCGCGCGCCCGGTGCGGACCCGGTCCACGTGGGCCGGCGCGCGCGCTCCAGGCCGGCCCCCTCCTCCGCTTCGCTCGCAGCACATGGTCGGCGGCGGCGCGCCCCCGAGGCCGGCGGAGACCGGCTGCAGCCGGTATAGGATCAGAGAGAGGCAGCGACGCGGGGCCGGGGCGCGGGCAGCAGAACGCACTGCCCCGGCGCAGGAGGCAGAGGTGGGGGGCGGGGGGAGGGAGCGGCCGGGGTGCCCCAGGCGCGGGAGTAGGTGGGGGGCCGGGGCGGGGCGCTGCGGGCGGGCGCCCGGTGACACCCGGCCGAACCAACTTGCGATAGGCTCGGGCCCACGCCCTAAGGAGTTAAACCTTTCTCATGTTACCGAGCGGCTTATAAGGAGGGGAGGCCAAGCCTCCGCCTTATTGGGAGCCTTTTGGGGTTTATTCTCTGCCCTTCTAACTTGGTGAGTTGGTTTTATTATTTTACATGTTTAAAAGTTTGATTGTGGGGTGTTATATGAATCTGTGTTAGGAGCTTTCGTTTTTTTTCTTTTTTTTTTTCTTTTGCCGGGTGGGTGGTGGGAGGTGGAGGAGAGAGCACTTAACATCTTAACATTTGGAAGAGGTTATTCCGAAAAATATTCTGACAGTTGGGAATGCTCAAGGCCCCCCGGATGACGCGCTGTCGCCAGTGTGGGCAGCTGAGAGTCGAATGATCCCGGCCCTGGTACACTTGGGTCCGGAAAATGCCTAAAGGCAGGCTTGGCCTTTGAGTGCCCCCAGCCCCGGGTTAGGGGTTCCCGGCCAAAGGGCGAGTCGGGGGCACGCGGCTCAGCCCCGGCATGGATTTTCCGCTTGAAGTTGCCTGCGCGTCATAAGAGCGAAATGTCAGAGGTACCTGTCCCAGGCTAGCGCGCGCACGCAAGGCGGCCACTTAAGCAGCACTGAGGAAAGTGGGGTTCCGTGTCTTCCCCAACCCAACACACACAACCGGCGCGCCGGCGTGGCCCCCCGGGAGGAAGGCAAGCATTTCCCCGCAGAGCACAAGTCCTACACCTTGCCGGTCAGAGCTGTCAGTGGCTGAAGCCTCGTCCCGCTCAACTTCCAAGGTTCCCTGAGCTGCCAAGCACAGGAAAGCGCCCCTGTAACCGAGCAGCTCTGCAGCGAGGGAGGATGATTTTGCAGAGGAAATGGGTTATTTCCTTCTCGGTGGTTTTTTTCTTTCCTGTTTGTTTTTGCAACTAAGCCCCCACCCACCCCAAAGACAGGTGACAGAAGTGTGTCAGGTGGCATATACAATGTCACCAAACGTGGGGTGGGGTGCTGGGGGTGGGCGCGTTAGTCTTAGCAAAAGCTCCCCAGAGCCAACTGGGGAATAGCAATTACAACTTGTCAACCTGCAAGCTAGTTTTGTTTGCACTCTTAGACACTCGGTGCCAGCGCTTTCTCCAAAGACGTGGTTTCTGCCCTGGGAATGAGATTTCTCCGTGATCTTACTGTTTTGCAAATCATAGTATGATGAGTGTCTTGTTTGCAAAAAAGACCCAAGTGCTTATGCTGAAGTCGCTAAGTGATGCATCTCCCCATGACCCAAGCACCATTACGTGGCATTTGGGGGGGGGGTCAACAATACATCCTGCCTGGGACACAGAAATACCTCTTCTCATAATTAAGGGAAGGGTGACCAAGGGAGGGAGTTACAGTATGTAAATAAACAACGCAGCCAAGTGGAAAAGCTCTGTCTTAATGAGTACCACTAACCCTGAGCTTTCCTTCTCTGGTTTCCAAAAAAGGGACTTTCTCAGTGGAACTCCTAAAGAGGACAATTAGGGGCTCAGTATTATGATCTTAGAAAAAAGGTGAAGCAGTTGTAGCCAGTGATTGAGAACTGCTGAGGCAGCCTTCCAGGTCAGGTTTGGGATTTTTTTTTTTAATATAGAATTCAAATGAACTTCACCTAAATACAGAATGATTTTGACAACTGGGGCCGGAAACAACTTGTCCGAAGCTGTTATCCAGGCTACGCCTTTAAGAAGAATGGAGATTGGCAATGCATTGCCTGGGCTTTGCCTGTATGGCCACCAGCAGCCACCATTTCCATCCAAAGGCTGCACTTTGAGCTGACCCTGGATTAACACTGATGGTCTATATAATAATCTAATCCATCCTTCATGCCTCAGGTCAAATTCTGTTCTTAATAAATCAAATCAGTGGAATTCCCAGGTATAGCAGCTTCACAAGCCTTGGCAGAACACTTATTTATGTAAAGTTATGACAACCAAATGCTCATAGGACATACTCCAAACTGCCCAACATATGTTGTTCTCCTTCCTATGGAAGAACATTTACAGAAGACAAGATGGCTGCCAGGAACCAGTATTCAGAATCACAGTTACATAGTTGAAAGAGCCTTCAGACTGCCATGTTTAACCCCTGCTTTCACAGATGATAGAATTTAGAGATTAAATGTTTCCCCCAGGACTGTGCAGCCAGTTAGTGGTCAATTCACAAATAACACCCAAGGGCCTGAAGAAGACAAACCCCTGCATGGGCTTTGCCTCCCAGGACTCATCATAGGTTGAGAAAGTTTAAAGGGTGGCTTAGAGCAAGTCAGGGTCAAAGGCTATCATAGAATTGATTACAGGTTCTCCGGGGAGGAATCTAGCTCAGCTCCCTCGTTTACCTTTTGAGAACACACTGACCATCCGGGAGCAAAGTGATTCGCCCAAGGCCCAGGGCCACTCAGCTGGCCTCACCAGCTAGATTCCCCACACAGTAAACTCATATCCCTTCTCATCACATGAAATCACATGACCATAAAACCAACACCAGCAGATATTTCCCTATTCTGGAATCTGTAGAGGCTTCTAAGTAACTGAGTTTGGAGTTCAGGCCTTGCTTTTTTGCTCTGTAGAGGTCAACAAGTTTGTTAAGCCAGGTGGCCTGCTGAATCAGTGGAAGAAAGGAAAGGTGTCCAGTCCAGGAAAGCACCGATTCTGCAACCAGGGACTTCCTCACGTGATAACTCGGTTTGCTAAGGATAGAGCAGTGCATTGCTTCAGGAGCACCCCGACTCATGCTCTGTTCAGTAAACTGTTACTGAGCACCTACTGTGTGCCAAACGAGCTACCCGGCACTCGGTCTAGAAAGAGCTGCTGACTATCCTATAGGTTGCTGCGCTGTGTGATCCTGTGCAAAATGCAGAAGTCATCATCCAGTACATTTTAGAAACCAGGTTACTCTATTATTCTATAGTGTGGTCTTATCTTCAAAGCTAAATGGAATGCAATAGAGGAGGCTTTAGGATGATAAAGGCATAAACTTTAAAGCAAGAGTGGGTTCAGGGGAAAGAAGGGGGGTCATGTTTATGGTATTCCCAGTAATAAGGTTTCTGCCCTCCAAAAACCCAAGAATGCAGGTGAAAGTTATATTTGGATCTAGCTACAAGCGAGTACCACAGAGGTAAACAAAGCTGTAAAAACACAAAGGGATCGGACACCCAGAAGGGGCTCAGAAAGTAAACAAGTAGAGCATCAAAAGGCTGCCCTCTTCTATCCGGCTGTCATACATCAGATCCCACCAACGTGCAGCTGCTTCTCACCCACCTTTCCAAGCACCATCTAGCATGTCCACTTTCTTCCTACCACCCTGGTTTCACTGGGCCACCAGCTTTGACCTGAGGCATCAGGTGAGTAAGAAAACTCAGTGCTGAATCAAAAGTATCAACTGTTAAAGCTAGACGGAGCCTTTAAAGATTCTCCAAAAAATCTCTGACTAAAGATGTGACTGATGAAGAGCTCAGGCCCAGAGGGGTGCAGTGACTTTTGCAAGGTCACACAGTTAAGTGGTGAAACAGCCCACAGCCTCTTTATCCCATGGGGCTCAAAAAAGCTTTTATCATTGAAAAACATTGTTTACTCACAACTTCTATGTAAAATATCCCTCTCCCTGGCCTTTAAAATGCTGCCCTGGGGGCTGACACAGCAGGGCTGTGACTCTGGACCATTGCCGGCAAGCCTTCCCCTCTCTGGGGCTCAGTTTTCCCACTTTGCAAAATGAGTAGTTTCACAAAGAGGAGGTGGACACGATGAGCTCCAAATTCCCTGTCAGCTTTAACATTCTGTAATTCCAGCTCCATTCTGGGCTACAGGTTGATCTAAATCCCACATATTGTGCACATGCAAACCAATGATCATAACAAGCAAAGGGAGAGTGAGCTGGGCCCCCATCGCCGCAACGGAAATGTTGGCCTGACACAGCCTTCTCATGATGGGTTGCTAAACTCATCTCGTACAAAAACTCCAGCCTAGTCCTCCTCGTCTAAATGCAAGCCAGCACACAGATTCGGTGTCTTGATCCTGCAGGGAGTCTAGGCTAGAGTCTCCAAGAGATTGGTTTGTCCCATGGGGGCCCTTCATCCGTTTCATCCCAATTTCTATTCAGGTTGGTCCTGAGCCCTCTATTAAGACTAGGATCTTATGGGCACCCTCCTGGGTTAGAACGATTGTGCCAATGTGGCCTTGGACTTAGCCATTTAGGGCGACTTGTCAAGTGTGCTGAGCTCTGGCAGGACTCAGCTGAATGGTTTTCAATACAATGGATTTAAGTCCATGGAGGCAGCGACCATCTCTCTGTCTTTTCACTATTGTATTCCCAGGGCCTAGCAATGGGCCTGGCACCTAATAGTACACTGTTAAAAAAAAAAATCAATAAAAGCTGTGTGCAAGGTACTGGGGGGAGGGGTGGACATAGATACAGGCCCCTGATTTTGTTTTCCATGAGCTTATAATTTAATTGACCTAATTAAGATAGACACATAAAAGTAAACACCCCATTATTAAATGATACCTGTCACATGAAGAAAAGCCCCTGAGATTGAGTCAGTTAGAGAAAGCATCATGAAAAGTGGATTTTGATGGCACCAGGCTTTAAAGGTGCCAGCTGTAGAGGTGGCATCCACCTGGGCAAAGGGCATGGCCACAGGCAAGGTGGTTAGAGCCTGGAGGGCAAGGAGAGGTCCATTTTGGCCATGACGGGCAAGTCAGGTCTTAGAACAGCAAGAAATAAGGCTACAAAGAATAGATTGGGGTTCAATTCTGAGGGACATTGAAAGTCAATCTAATCAGTGGATTTTATCCTTCAGAAAGAGGAAAGCCATTGCAAAACTGAGCCAAAAAATGCCATGACAACACCACATTTTCAGAGCGATTAATCATACAGGACACAGGAGCCAGTAAAGGAGTCGTGGGCTTCCCAAGGAAATGCTCAAGTAACTGGCCTGGGAGGGGAATGACGTGGAAGGGGAGAGGCTGAAGACCTGGGCTGTAGGCTGCCCACCACCACTTTCCCTCCTGCGCCCCTCCCCAGGGAGAAACACTATTCTAAAGCCAATACTGACAAGCATTCATTCATTCATTTATTCTTCTAAATTTTAAGTCTAGTACTGTCCTCACCCCTCTCCAGCTGCCTTATTTCTGAGTGAATTCTGAAAGTCTAATGAGGGAGGCGTGTTGTGAAAACCTCATTTGCTGGAGGGCTCCGGATCCCATCTTAAATCAATTGCTTTCATGTTGGGCAATGCTCTTGACACCTATTCTGTAGCTTCTCAGCTTATATCTTGAGCTGTTTAACTGCCCTTCCCATTTGCTCTCAGGAGCCATTGACACACAACGAAACGCAGAAGCCTTTGCTGCAGAGCACTTAAGCTTCTTAAAGCATCTCATGCCCTATTTTATTCAACCAAATACTTAACCGCAATAAGGTAAAAAATAAGGAATATATATAGTCCTTTCCAAGTACTAGGCTACTGTGGGAATGGTGCAATCGATAGGAATGAGATGAAGTTGGTCAGATACGCTTCTTTTTTAAGAGTTATAGAGTAAGTTCTGAATATTAGATCCTGATACCAGAAATGGGCAAGTCTACTGGATAAATGAGGTTGTGTCGTGTTGTTTTTCAGTTGCCCTTATTAATAAAATCTGCCTTAGTCCTTGAATACCACTTACAGCTAAGATAAGGATACACACGCATCCTGAAAACTCACCTGTATACAAACTAATTGTAGAGAATTCTCATGGGTGGATTGCCATGAAGACCTTAAGACCATGGACTCATTTATGATTATAGACACAAATTTGTAGTTAGGCTAAAACCACTATTTTAAAGTATTGGGTTGTTGGAAAAGTCATGACTTATTTTTCTGTTTTTCGTTGTAAAAATGCGTCATGACTTTTCTGACAACCCAACAGAGGTAATTTCAGAGTCTTTGACCATGACCGTGTTTGTGCGCTAGAGCCCAATGCAGAAGACAAACTACCTTCTCTCTAGGGTTCAGTGTTTCCTCTTCCTTAATGGTGTGACGATATAGGTCTGCTTGTATTGACGTTTGTTGCAATTTAAATGGAAAGGCAGCTGAGGATGAGGGATAACTTGGTTAAGTTAACTGGCTGTCAAGTCCAAGTTGGTAGAGCCTTATTTGGTCACTATATTCTAGTAGTAGTGCTCGTGTGCATGGAAATTCAATTGCTAATGCACCAACTGATGATCAGCTTTGAGAACTTGCTCCTGTCAAACCCCCAGACGACAGAATTCCCACGTTAGGATTCATAGTCACAGTCTGTCCATGTAGGTACAAGGGACACCCAGTCATAATCAGAATGCTGCTGAGTGGGAAGTGGGATCAAGGAGAGGTAAGTGGGTGATCTGAATGGCAGACAGAGGCACAGAGCTACAGGGCGTCTGAAGCACTTCTCAGTACCGTCAGTGTTTGCCTCTGAGCCTGCCTTTTTCTAGGTTTCATTTCTGATCAACATTCCTTTTGGTCATTTAATCCTCCTTTACCTAACTTGTCTTCAAGTTCAAGGTACCACTGATGCTGGTTTGTTGGCTACTCTGTGTCCTTCAAACGCTTCCCAATGTCTGTCCTGATGCCTTATGTTACTTGTTTTTCCCATTTAACTGTCACAGTTTTTAAGTCTTACTTGCAACTTCTTTGGGGAGATCCATATATAATACAAAGACTATATATATATACATATACAAGTTGCTACTTATATCTGAACTTTATATACTGGGGGTGCCAAAAAAATGTATATACACATTTTAAAATGTTATCTTAAGATATATTTCTTAAGATGGTATCTTAACCTTCCATCAGGCGCAAATGATCTCACAGAGTCATTGCACAGAAAGATGCCACTATGAAATACGTCTTTATTGCACTAAGTCACAAACATGACTGGCGATAGGTTATGGTAGAGCGGGAAGACACGGAAACGATGAGTCACGATAATTAAGTTAACTGTTAGATATGTGAAAATTTGTGTGCAATGAATCTGTGAGATCAGTTGCCCCCAACAGAGGGTTATAATGTGTGTATACATTTTTATTGTCACTGTCTGTATGTACATATTATTGGGTCATAGGAAAAGTCATGATGCATTTTTGCAACGAAAAACATAGAAAAATACATCATGACTTTTATGACGACCCAATACATGAAATACTTTATGCAAAGATTTTATTCTAACTGCATATAATTTATACATTCATCAACCTAAGAAATGTAAGTAGTTCTTATCTGTTATGTTTGCTAAAGAGTATTAGAATCAAACTATGCTATTGCTGATCTGAAATTTTTTTAAACTTTTTATTTCAGATTAAGAATGACCGAGAAGAAATCACGGCTTTGTTGCAGAGCCAATGTCTATACTCAAGTGCCTGATGGAGGATGGGGCTGGGCAGTAGCTGTGTCTTTTTTCTTCATTGAAGTCTTTACCTATGGGGTCATCAAGTCATTTGGTGTCTTCTTTAATGACTTAATGGACAGTTTTAATGAATCTAATAGCAGGATCTCATGGATAATATCAATATGTGTGTTTATCTTAACATTTACAGGTTAGTACATCTTTCAGCGTAAATCCTATATAAGCATGTGCCTCTTTCAATTTGCCTAACTACGTAATGGTACTCATTGGGTTTGCGATGTATTTCCTGCATGTATGACCTCTTGGCAGTTCCTAGCCTCAAGTAATATGGTTTTCAGGGGGTTGAGGATGGCAAGAGAGAGAGGAGCTGAAGGGGGAAAAAAGCCTTCTTTGCCAGCCCTGACTGCCTTCAGTTTAACACACATATTAAACGCCTACTGTATACACAATTTTAGGGTGCTGTAGATTATATTGCGGACAGCAGTAAAACCCAGTTCTGTGGGGGATGTAGTCATTTTCTAAAGAAGCAACGTCACAAGTATGTTTGTTTGGCTTACTAGGCCCTGGTCTCACAAAAACATGCTTAGGTTGGGAACATGAAAATGTAGCTACATGAAGATGACATATGTATAAGCTACACCGATTATAATTCATCAGCCACTGTGAATTTTCTATCCCATCACTATCCTCCATTGGGTGTGCATAGCTGAGAAGTCACCATACTTTATATCATTTTTATTAAAGGTAAATGAAACTAAGCTAGAATTTGAACCTAAATGGTACTTTTTTTAAAAAAAAAGAGACCAAAGCAGTGAGTATACAAAATCACTCAAGCAATCCTAGGAAAGCCCATTTTTATGACACAATAACATAAATTTAATGCATATCTAATTTTATAGGTGCTCATGGTGAGTCAAAAATCTTTTAAAAGTATAGATATGAGTTTTACACTATTACACTATTTCCCTGGCTTATTTTTAAGGAGCCCGAAGAATATATTTAAATACAACTGACCACTGAACAATGTGGGGGTTAAAGACGCCAACCTTTCGTGCAATCAGAAATCCATGTATAACTTCTGACTCCCCAAAAACCTAACTACAGTCATCCCTTGGTATTCGCAGGGGATTGGTTCCAGGACACCCATAGATACAAAATCCATAGATGTTCAAGTCCCTTATATAAAATGGCATAGATCAATGCATACAATCAGTCCTCCACATCTATGAGTCCCAATCGCAGATTGAAAATACTGTTTCGATCCATGGTTGCCTGACTCTGCACGTGCATAACCTGGGGATAAGGAGGGCCGGTTGTACATGTATTTTTAAAAATCTGAGTATAAGTGGGCCCACCCAGTTCAAACCCGTGTTATTCAAGACTTAACTATAATTCCTGAACTGACTTAAGTAGCCACTGCATAAAATGTATTATAGAGTGTACACTGTCCCTCCATGTCCAGGACGTAAGGAATCTTACGTTATACTCTTTTAATGCAGCTCCCCTCTCCACCGTCCTGAGCAGTCGTTTCGGACACCGCCTGGTGGTGATGGCGGGAGGACTGCTTGTTAGCACAGGAATGGTGGCAGCCTCCTTTTCTCGTGAGGTCTACCACATGTACATTGCAATTGGCGTCATCTCTGGTAAGTGTTTCTCTGGGGCTCAAACTCTCCAGATACTCAGTTTGAAGGAAGGGGAAGGAGGGACTCAAACCCAAAGTGTATTTCTTTCTCTCTTTCCCTTTCTTTAAAGTTAATAGGTTCCCAGATCAGTGGTTTAGAGCTGGGCTGTATGGACCCCAGGAGATATTGAATCTATTCTCAATGCCCAAAATTTTTCTGATTTTTAATATTTGCCAATGAGAATGGTAACTTCTCTTTTGTGATAGTTTGCTGCCAAAAGGCATCATTTTCACAAAGTAAAATCTGAATTTCTTAAGCCGCTATTCCCCAAATTGGGGTCTGAGGATCCTGAGCTAGAGAGAGAGGATGCAGTGTGCTGGGCTTATTCTTAGGGGGCTGAGAAAATTTTCTTCCCTTTCAAAGGCATTTATACATTACTGACAGATTGCGCGCGCGCGCGCGCGCACGTGTGTGTGTGTGTGTGTGTGTGTGTGTATGTGTATTTAATTTTGCACACTGAAATTTTTCATATATTTCTGCACATATCATAACTCATTTATTTCCAAATACAACTCTAATATATAAAAACTATATTTGATACTAGTTTTGTCTACTGTGAATTATATACATTTGAGAAAAATGCAAAAAAGCAGGAAAACATAGAAAACCATTTTTATATATATTCCCAGCATCCCAGCTTCTCCAGATCTCTCATGAAACCCATTTTTCTTTGCTACAGGACCTTTTTCCAGAATGAATTACTGGGCTCCCAGACCTTAAGACTTAAAAAACAAACACACAAATCCCAGATCTCTGAATACATCTTTCTGATATCAACTCAATCAGTGTGTGATTCTCACTGTTCTTTTTGACTTTCACAGGTTTGGGATACTGCTTTAGTTTTCTCCCAACTGTCACCATTCTGTCACAGTACTTTGACAAAAGACGCTCTGTGGTCACTGCAGTTGCTTCCACGGGAGAATGCTTTGCTATGTTTGCTTTTGCACCAGGTGGGTAGATCACAATAGTCTACATGTTAATGTGAACTAGGGGAAGCCTCTCCGATTATTTTTGTTACACAAACTTGCCCACAGTCGGCTACTGGATGACTGTAACTGTATGCATAATGAAAAGGTGTTTTGTTTCCTTCTGTTCTCCGGCACACTTTTATGATCTATCCTCCTGAACTCCCATGTTAGAAATTCAAACATTTTAATACTCGTCCAAGTTTACACAAATAAGATACATAGCACATATCCAGTGTAAGGCTTGAAACATCCATTCCAAAATAAATAATTTAACAATTAGGGATTGTGCATACGATTATTTCTCCTTTGTCACGAGAGCCATATTCAGCGTGCATTTACATTGTGCTCATCGTGTCGGTTGTATTATTTGTATGTGGCTTATCATACAGTGAAGTTTTTATCCCCGGCTTAATTCCCTATCGTAAGGTTAACTTGTGAATTATACTAACAAGCAGTAGACAGGTAACCTTGGAGAACCAGCTTCACCCCATTTTTGGTGAATGTGCCAGTGGATTGAACTTTGTTCAAAGGAAATCCATGTAGTATTTAGGGGTGATGTGTCGTAATGTCTGAAGCTTTGCATAGTTAAGAAAAACGAATGTGTACGTGCATATAGAGTGATACAGGCAGAGAGACAGGAAAAAAATGTTAACTGTTGAAGGTAGGTGAAATACAGGCAGGCATTTGGTGTCATCAGTTTCCAATTTTTTGAAATCAAATGTTAAGGGGAGAATCAGTTTCCTGAGTGCCCAAAGGTTAGAAACTACATATTGGGATCAGCTTTGTTCCCTAGCACTGGGCATATCCCTGGCAACTGATAGGACTCAAGAAATATTAGAGAAAGGAAAATTAGACCCATTATTGCCAGGTGAGTAGTGTAAAGCACCTGAAATACCCAAGCCTCAAATATTTTGCAATTCTAGCTTTTTCCATAGTCATGGAGGGAACAAGAGGTGTGAGCGAAACATATGCTACAAAAGCAAGTCCAGCCCCCCAGGAATGTGGGGCTGTCGTGTGAAGCCTATCTTCTGGGTGAACAAGTTACCATGTCTCTCATACCTGACTGTCAGCTCTCAAGGAGTTAGAATGTAGTAAAATGAAATTCTAATGACCATATCATTCCACCTTTTGGGATGACTGTGAAGATACTCTTAAGATCTTCTAGGGCCTGCATTACCCTATTGTCACTGGGGAGCTTTATGTTCCCTTTGGCCATCCCCCGCAACCTCACACTGTGGTGTCCAGCCCAATCCTCCAGGCTGCCTCTGGTCAGCAGCCTAGGACCCAACTGCCTGGCAAGAAAGAGGATGACTCAGGTGATAAGGACATTCCGCAAAGTAGGAACTGGAGAACTGTTATGATTTCATTCTGGGAGAATCTTTGAGCTTTTAGAGTCTTAGTTTATTTTGTCCTTAATCCACTGCTACTAAGGATTGCATGTATAGTGCTCTAGCTCAGGTTGGAAATTCTATTTGTAAAAGGCCAGACAGTAAATATTTAAGGCTTCATAGACTGTAAGTCTCTGTCAGAGCTACTTAACTCGGCAGTTACAGCACAAAAGCAGCCATAGACGGCATAAATGAATGAAGGTGTCGCCTGTGTTCCAGTGAAGCTTGATTGCCAGACACGGGCAGTGGATTGGATTTGTCCTGCAGGTCAAACCCTGAATTAGGTCAAAAGCTAATTTCGCTTCTTGTGCCTCTACCTGGAAAATGCACCTTCCAAAGCTCTTTTGGAGACCAGGGCTGAAAATTTTTGTTTTATGTATAATAATCATTACGTACACTTTCTGATTGATTCCTAAAAGCACCAAAACCTAGAATAAAGGATAGTACCGGGTGACTGCATTCAAACTGCTGAGTAAATTTTTTTAAAACGTAAGTTCCAAATCGAATCCATATTTCTACTCGATATTTTCTCCTGGGCCTTGCGTCCATTTCTGACCTCACATTTTATTTCTTCTTCCCTTCCCTCCTGCCCATCCAAGCATTCACGGCTCTGAAGGAGACGATTGGCTGGAGGTACAGTCTCTTCCTCACCGGCCTACTGCAGTTAAACATTGTCGTCTGCGGGGCCCTGCTAAAACCAATTATAATCAGAGGACCGGGGTCACCGAAAATAACTGGACAGGAAAATCCGAAAGAAGTACAATATATGCTTGAAAATGAGAAAACGCACACCTCAATAGATTCCATTGACTCAGGAGTAGAACTAACTACCTCACCGAAAAATGTGCCTAGTCACGCTAACATGCAGCTGGAGCCGAAGGCCGACGTGCAACAACAGACCCAGGAGAAGACCCCCTCCAAGCAAAAGGAGAAGCAAGTCCCGCTGCTGGACTTCTCAATCTTGAAAGAGAAAAGTTTCATTTGTTATGCGTTATTTGGTCTCTTTGCAACATTGGGATTCTTTGCACCTTCCTTGTACCTCATTCCCTTGGGCATCAGTCTGGGCATTGAAAAGGACCGCGCTGCTATTCTGTTATCTACACTGGCAATTGCTGAAGTCTTTGGAAGAATTGGAGCTGGTTTGGTCCTCAACAGACAGCCGATTCGTAAGATCTACATTGAGCTCATCTGCGTCATCTTGCTGACCGTGTCTCTGTTTGCCTTTACTTTTGCTACCGAATTCTGGGGTCTCATGTCCTGTAGCATATTTTTTGGTGTTATGGTTGGAACAGTAGCAGGCACCCACATTCCGCTGCTCTCTGAAGATGATGTCGTGGGAATTGAGAAGATGCCTTCTGCTGCTGGAGTCTACGTCTTCATTCAGAGCATAGCAGCACTGGGGGGCCCACCCCTTGCAGGTAATTTAAATACACGAAATCCAAATCCTTGTCTACTGTCCCCTACCCCCTTTTTTTTTTTTAGCATTTCTGGACCTGAATCATACTCGTTTAAGATGACACTGTTTGGGCAAGACTATTATTAAGGAAGACTGGAGGTAGCTTCACAGACTATAAATAGAAATCACACTGCATTATAAAGCAGGCATTGTGATATATACATTATATAACCTATAAAGTTTACTATTATTAACGCTGCTGGCATCCTATTCAAGCCTCATGAAAAACACAAACTCATTTTTATACTTCCATAGAATTATGAAGCTGGCAGAATTAGAGATTACCTGAGTAACTCTCTTGATTTAAATAAGAGGAAACTGAAGGTCAAAGAATGTCAGCTGACGGTCATACAGTACATCAGTGACCAAGTCAGGATTAGAACCTGTGTCTGCAGCCCAAGCTGCGCAAGCCTTGCAAATGCTAGAGGGGGCACTGGATTTAGGACTTCATGAGCCTCTGACTTTTGCACACCAGCACTAAGGGCCTTCTGGAAGTCAACCTTCCGTGCCTAGGAAGTCACCTTCCGTGCACTCTGCATGTACTCAGCTGGTTCCTACAGAGTATGTCCGTGTAGGAAGGACATGGGTATGTTCCGTATCTTAGACCTGAAATAGATCCTTAAAGTTATTGTGACTAGAAATCTTAGCCCATGTTAAAAGATACCTGAAATGAACTCAAGTGAAAATAGCAGAGTGCTGTCCTCTCTGCAGACATCACCTTGGCAGAGAAACATGCATCTAACGGTTCCATGACTTAGAGTCTCTACCAGGACAGGTCAGCCCATGAAGACATTTTAGCGACAGTTTCCTCAGGTGCTAACCAGTATGTTGTATGTTTGTCTGACTTAGTTCTTCTCCCCTGTCTAAAAAAGATTCCTTTCCTGCCTTTAACACTCCTTTTTCTGTAGAGAAACAAGATAAAACAAAGAAGGCACAGAAACTGAGAAGTTTCTGATGTTCAGAGGGTGCCTGGGAAGAAGGGTTTGTGTCCACGCAGCTAACAGATGCGATTGCTTTCTCCCAGGTCTGCTGGTGGACCACAGTAAGATCTACAGCAGAGCCTTCTACTCCTGCGCAGCTGGTATGTCCGTGGCCGCTGTGTGCCTCGCGTTTGTGAGACCCTGTAAAAAGGGACTGTGCCAGAGTCATCATGCAGGTGAACTAAAGGCAGAGAGTTACCGTGGGAGAGCTTTACAAGACACACCTGAAGACTTTCTGGAAATGGACCTTGGGAAAAATGAGCATAGAGTTCCTATGAAAACGGAGCCTGTATGACAGGCTTTCATGGAACACTGGCCACCTGCTGGCTGGTTTGCGGGGGCTTGGGGGGGCTGGGGGACATAGTGGTATAGAGGAGCTGACCACTCTACCCACTTTCAAAATGACATTTTAAAGGGAATGTATAAGTGACCACCACTACCAACATCATTTTCTTTAGTTTTAAGTTTTCCTTTTTGCTTGTTTTTCAAGCCAAAACAAAAACAATCCAACACTCTTCCATATATAAATCTGGCTGTATTCAGTCGAAAAACAAAGACACATAGAAGGACTATGATTCACATTCCAATTTTAAAATAGTGACATGAATTGGCAAAGTGATTTTAAGAGCTCTCACATGTGATAAACTGCTATCTTGTAAAACAACATCTACCCCAGGTCACTGAAATAGGCCATTCAAAAAAATATATTAAATCATTTAAAAATTTTCAGAAACATGACCAAATTATATAAAATCCTTTTAAAAATACTGAGGTTTACATTAAAAAATTATAGCCTCTTAATTTTCCAAATATTGAATGGAAATGAAGTATACTTTAAGACCAAACACTTGGCTAATAAACGGAGATATCTATATATATATAGATAGATATAGATATAGATATATATCTTCATGAACTTCATGAATGTGAAGATTCCCACTTCTTTTTATGGGCTGTTATTACCAGAAATATTTCATACAGAATATTACAGAATGGCATTCAAAAATGGGTTTCCTGTTGCTTTTAATTATTCAGAAATATTGTGATTATAGTGTCTTTAATTTAAACCACTATTTATTATTAAGTTATTCTAGGATGATTAAAGTAATCAAAAGAAATATAATCTGGGACATAAGCAGCATTTTTAAGTCCTTTCTGCAATCCTTTAAATGCCTCAAAGAATATTCTTTGAAAAGTTCCTCTCATAAAAGGCCAAGATTCTTCAATTTGATTAAAGGCAATGTGTGCTATTTATTGGGGACAAAATAATGAATAGCAAATTGCCTTAGCATTTTAAAATAATCCGTTTTATCACCTAAGAATACTTGAGGATCTTCTTTGATCAGATTTATATTTCATTGAACTGTTGAAGCATTTCTGTATTTCACACAGGGACATTTATTTTACCATCATGAGTTACAAGTTACAATTTACGTCTTAGATAAACCTTGATTGCTCTACGTTGCCAGAGTTTTCAGGTTCACTGGCCATTGTTTCTTTGGACTTAAACTACATGGATAGTATTTCTCATGTTAGCAATGTTCTGTAAAGAGGGCGAATGCAAGGGGAACAGGTGGGCTCCTTACGCGCACGTACTGAAACTCACTGCTCCCTGATTCATCCTTATTCCTCTTTACTGTTAATTTATGACAACTCAGGGGGAAACACTAGAACAAGCCTAGTTTGGTTAGAGGTACACAAAGCTTGAATATTTCTCTGCACTGAAATGAAAGTGGCATAGTTCATCACCACCTGCTCCATTCTGTACAGCGTTTTATCAGCCAGAGAAATAGGACAATCGAAACCTTTGGGGAGGGTGGAATAGGAAATGACAAAGTGTCCATCCAAACAAAGACACGCCTAAAACAAGGTGGATGTAGCAGACCGCTGTCACTGCTTAAGAAGGACTTGGAGCTTGTGGCAGTTTTGCAGACTTACATGACTTCAGCACTTTACAACATTTTTTACTATGAATGTTCAATACAGTTTAATATTTATAACTGATTTCTGAGCAAAGCGATGTCCATTCTGTGAGCTGCATGGAAAATTGTATGCCAATGTCAGTATGTCCACAATCAAGGTTTTAAACGTTTGGAAGAAAATTTTAAAAGGATTGCTGATATGTTCTGTACTAGGGACATTGTGGTACTTCTAGATTTGCAATAAATGTATAGCTTTTTTATTTAAAGAGACTGATTAGTTTTTTACTGACTCATCGGCATTCGCTGTTTGATCCAAATAGTTACAGCTACAGTTCTTTTCTACAAAATCTTTTAACTCTACTATAGATCTATAAACATTTCCAAGAAGTGTGTGTGGAACTTATGTCTTCAATGAAAAATACATGAATGAAATTTCACAGTAACCACAGATTAACAAATAGCTAAGCCTATCATAAGTAATAAGTGGAAATAGTTAAGACTACCGATATTCAGTTACAGAAGAGTCCTAAAAATTATTCTACCTCTAAGTAAATAGCACAGACTCCATGCCAGGGATCAGCAAACTTCTGTAAAGATTCAGATAGCAAATATTTAAGGCTCTGCGGGCCACGTGGGCTGTGTCACAACTATTCAACTCTGCTGCTATGGTGTGAAAGCAGCCATAGACAATATGTAAATGAATGATCATGGCTGGTTCAGTAAGTGTTTATTTATGGATACTGAAATTTGAATTTCATAAAATTTTCACAGATGAAAATGGATTTTTTTTTCAACCACATAAAAATGTAAAAACTAGCTCACAGGCTGTAAAGAAAACCAGGCAGTGGATTGGATCTGACCCCTGCTCCGTGCATCTGTGAGGCAGGAATGGACAGGTACCAGCAAAGGCACAATTCCATAAACTGACAGTCCTGAGTGGTAGGAAAGGATCGTTGTGGTCAAAGTGATGCTTAGAGCGTAAGTGCCTAAGATAGGAAAGGTCAAACAGCTGAGAGCACATTAATGATCAGTTTTCATTTCCTGTGACTAAAGAGATTCTTGAACCTTAATGACTTAATAATGTTTGAGTATAAATGTAGATGGTTTCTCTCCAGAAACATAAAACTCCTGTTCCAAAAATGAATTACGATCATGTGCTCTTTTAAGACAAATGCATCCTTCACTGATAGTGTTTCCAAAACTTTTAACAAAGTTATCAATTATATACTCCCACAGTGTGTCATGTAGCCTTTGCACATTCATTTGCCTTTCCTTTAGCTTAAGACATGAGGACAAAACAGAAAATGGATTCTAAGTCAGGATTCCCCTAGCCCAGTTGACCACTGAAGTCACTGGGAGGTATTTATTACATTTAGATTTCTGTACTCCTCAACTATTCTAAGATTCATGAAGAAATTATGAATCTTTTCAAAAGGCTCCCAGATATAAGGCTCACGAACAGGGATCTAGAGTTTAGAAGCTATTGTCTTTAAATTTTTAAATGGTTACGAACATTATTTTAAATGACCAATTTAAAGATAAATCAGGCATGTTACATGCTTAAAGGTCACTCCTAAAAGTATACATCGCATTGAGAAAAGAGGCTCTGTCCTTGTCTTCAGGTTTGTCTCTGATATAGATGTTTATGTAAGTGAGGGCTATGAGCTCCAACAGGTGGGCCAGCAACATCTTATAAGGAAGGAACTCCCGCCCCCTGGTGTTCTCTTTCTGTAACGACTCCATCAGAGTGTAGAACAAGAAAAGTGGCAAAAGTTCAGAAGCTTGCAACTTCGCTTTTCATGTAAAATAAAATCTCTCATATCCAAATCAAAATTACTTCAGTGAATATGGATTTCCTATAAGGGAAATTAGGCAGAAAAACTGATATCCCAGAGCTCTTTATAAAGGCTTTTAAAATAGAGCTCACCGGAGGTTATTTTCACTTTTTCAACAAAGATTATTGAGAGAAAACACAAATTGTGGCCATGTAGTTATATTATGTATATACCTTTCCAGCAACTCAAGAAAAGAACAAGCACACTCACTATCCTAGCAACGTACTCCCCTAGAATTCGACCAAATCCTCAAGTACCTTCTCTCCACTGATGACTCTAATTCTAGATCCAGACTTCTCCGCTGAGCTCTGGGCTTACTAACCAGGCCCATGTGACAGCAGATGCGTGCCAGCTAGGCATTTCCAACTTAGCCAGTCCTCAGCAGAGCTCCTGGTGCTCCTCTCCAAACCTGCTCCTCCACAAATCCTACTGGCTCTGCTTCCTCCGTATATTCAGAACCTGACTGTTTTTGTCCAACTCCCAGTTCCCCTGATCCAAGCCAGCATCATCTTAGCTGGATTTCTGTAATAATCTGTTTTGCCTGCGTCCACTCTTGCCACACATCCAACCACCGCACCCTGACTTTCATTTCCATGTACAAGACTTACAATAATCGTTTTAAAGCACAAGTCAGGCATGACCACATGTAAAACCAAACTCTTAACAATGGGCTCTGCATGTAAGGTCTGGTGCTATCCATTTCCCCCTTGCTCTGCTACTCTGGCTGCACTGGTCTTCTTACTGTTCCTTGAAATCATAAGCCTCAGGCCTTGGCATCTCTGGTTCCCTTTGCCTGGTACATCCTTCCGTTAACATGTACATGATATGACACTTCAGTTTGGTCTCCTCCAATGTCACCCGTGAGGCGGCATTCCTGACTATCCTGTCCCATACAGCACTTTTTTCTAGCCCTTTAGTCTAACCTTGTGTTATAAAAGGATCTGTCCACGCCTCTATTATCTGTCTCTTCCACTAGTACGTCAGGGTACCAGCTTTTTGTTCACTGCTACAGTCCCAAGATTTGGAGCAGGGCCTGGAATTTAGTAGGTAATATTCCAAAAAATATTCTTCAATGAATGAATTCTTTGTTTTTCATTGACTTTTTCTAAAGGAAAACATTGGTATCTATTCACGATTACAGCTCAAGGGTGTCTGGTGCTGCTATGAAGCATTTGGACCATAGTGGACACTGAAAGCATCATGCTGCAAGCCTCCTGGTCCAACATCTGAGGTGGGTCTCAAAATGCCCAGTGATAATGTCCTATCTACACAGTTAAGTGTGAGGAAGGAAACAGGTCCATCAAAGACTAAACAGGGGATGGAAATGACTACTAGGGTAGATAACACAAATGAGCGCTCTGAGCTTTAACATTGCTGGAGCAGATTTTGTTTTAACTTAACCTATGTCCAGTAGGCAATTTTTCATGATGCTGTCTTTTTAAACACCTCAACTGGTAGCAAGTGCTTTTCTGGATAATGAACCTCTTTTTCGGTGCTAAAGCAAAGTACTCTGATTTCTGACTTCAAACAACCCCAAATGGCCCCACTTGAATAGAAAAGAGGTTAAAGGAAAGTTTAATCTTATGACCCCTTCCATAAACAATTTCAAAAAAATTGGCTAGGTTTGTGGTATTTTACTTCTTATGAGGTCAGAAAGCACAGTGAAAACCAAGCAGAACTGGAAATCAGGGACACTTGGGATGTGGTCCCGTGTCTGCCATTGGTGTCACTACACACAGGTTACGTGGCCTCTATGGGCTTGTTTCCTCATCTGTGAATGGGTTCGGCAACAGTCACATTATTAACGCTTTACAATTCTGCTTTCCAAAAATGAAAACGCATTTAAAGGGAAGTACCAGGCCCTTGGCAATAGGAGAGGGTGAAAAACAACCCACCACAGAGAACAAGATCCTAAAGCCAATCGATACGAACCCCAGAGGCCCACAAGGGCCCTTTCGGCCTGAATGTCAACTCACTGTACTGCCAGGAGACATACACGCATGACCTTTTCCTTAAAAAAGTTTCTCTCTCCTATTAATTCAACTTCGTAAGTACATCTTCCCACGTAGACAAGAAACTGGCACTGATCTGGAGCTGGGGCTGCCCATACAGTAACCATGAGCCACGTGGAGCTGTTAAGCATTTGAAATGAGCCCAGTCAGAACTGAGTTATGTTGTGCTGTGCGTGTAAAATACATGCCAGAATTTGAAGACTTAGTACCAAAATAGGAAATATCTCAGTAATTTTTATATTAATTACATGTTGAAATAATATTTTGGATGCATTGGATTAAATAAAATACATGACTGAAATTAATTTCATCTGCTTCCTTTGCATTTGCTAATTTGGCTACTAGTAAAATTTAAATCACCTACGTGGCTCATCTACATTTGTATGGGGCAGCGCTGCTCTCAGTCAGAACAGGGGCAAGTGCCTGAGATTCCAACTCTTTTAGAAAAGCACTTTTTAAATGCCCTACCCAAGAACTGATACCACTTACTGCTCTGCTGGAAGGCCAGGCTGCTTTTCCCAGGCCTTGCCTTGGGCGAAGCCCACGTGAGCGCGGACTCGTGAGTGCGGCACGGTGCTCGCCTCCGCGGTCCTGTGGTTTCAGCACCCAGGGAGGCGGAGTCACAAGCCTGGGCTCTGGGCGCACGTAGGGGAAGTCTCCTGAGCAGAAGCAGGGACTCGCTGGAGCGCTGATCACAGCTGCGGGCGCTGATCACAACTGCGGGTCCAGACGCCTGCTCCCCGCTCAGGCGCAGCTCAGGACACCTATGCCACTTCCTGCGGGGGAAGGGCCCGCGTGCAGGGCCAGCGGAGGACCCGCAGCTGCCTGCTTGGGTTTTAGCCTGCTTGCTCCGCAGCGGAAGACCCCAGCCTGCCGGCCCTAAAGCGTTGGCAATTTACAAGTATTCATGTCAGGGGAGTTTGCGCTTTAAAGAACAAGCTGGACAAGAACTAGAGTGAAATCCTTGCCACATCCTTCTGTTTAACCTCCCTCATTAAACACCTAATCCTACCCTTGACCCTAGAAATACTAGTAATTCCATAGGCGCCAATGTGAACAACATTTCATATTCACGTATTCCTAGAATAGTGTTTGGGCAGTGGACAATTATTATTTTCACTCTTGAATACCTTGTTCATCGAGCATTTAAATAGGAAAATCTGCACAGACTTCTGTTTGTTACTAAATGGAAACAATGTTTAAAACAACGATTTACCTATAGGACATAAAATTTAGTTGCAGTAAACAAATTATATCTTTAAACTTAATTCTTGGGCCAGCCAAGTGGCTCAGTGGGTTAAGAGTTCGCTCAAGAATGCGAGCTCTGAGCAACAGGGTCGTCTATTAGATTCCCGGCCCGAGCTGAGCTGCTGCTGAGCTGCCAACAGGTGGCAGGATGGCTCAGCTAAAAAAAAAAACCAAAACTCTTTAAGAAATTGTCAAAAGTACATACAACCCACTAATTACTTATACACAACACCTAAGTGATGATTGCTGAATAAATGCCTGTTAAAAATCACACTTTCCCAATGTTTAGCAAGACTGAATGATTACTTTCTTTAATACACAATCTTTTTCCTGGTCTCAGTGCAGAGTAGGTACAAATGGTAATTGCATCTTGTCCAAATAACTGAAACCCCTAATTTACACACTTTGCCAAATCTGAATTCTTCTAGATTTGTAACTACAGGCATACCTCAGAAATCTTGGGGGTTCGTTTCCAGACCACAGCAATAAAAGGAATATTGCAATAAAGCCAGTGACACAATTTTTTTGGTTTCTCAGTGCATATAAAAGCTATGTTTACACTAAACTGTAGTCTATTATAAAGTGTGCAATAGCATTATATATATATAAACAATATATATAAAAATACATACCTTAATTTAAAAATATTTTATTGCTAAAGTTGCTAACCATCATCTTAGCCTGTTGGAAAAATGGTGCCACTTGCTTGACCCAGGTTGCCACTAAAGTTCAATTCGTAAAAAACAAAATATCTGGGAAACACAAAAAAGCGAATCACAGTAACATTGACCTACAAGACTAAAACTGCAATTACCTTATAGGAAAATGAAAAAAAACAACAAAAAAGAAAAGAGCGGAATGGACAATAGTCAAAAATACATTATTTGGGGAAAATACATTATTCAGGAAAATAAACCCATGCCAGAATGTAGAAAGTCCTTGCTCCATGAGTTCTCTTCTCAGTATTAAATGGCAAAGTAGTCACTCTCCAATCGCTTTTACTGGCAAGCCACCATTTTCTATTTTTCTAAATGACTCTGCTTTAATCAAGTAGAGGAGTAGAATGTAAGGGAATCCATTTATTCAGTTATAAACTGTGGTTTAAGTCATACTGCATAAATAATAACAGCAAAAGAATTTAGGTTTCAAAGTTCAGAATAAAAAACGACCATGAAGTTTCGCCCTCAGGGTTAAGATGCTCACCACATTCAGTCCAGTGATCTGCGCTAACATCTCCATTTCCGGGACACACTGAGATACAGAGATGGTTTGTCACATCCAAGGTTGTCACCCTGTGCCCCACCGTGGAAATGCGGCTGATGTTCACAGCCTGACAGCCATCCTGGCCATTGGCACACCGACAGGTAACCCCATCACACTCTCTCCCCCACTCCAGTAAACTTACTGCAAAGAAGTGAGAAAGATATTGTGGGAATCGACCCAAGCTGCTCTAATCCCACAGAAAAAGTGCGACATTCATAAACATAAGAACTCTTGTAACAAATTATTTGCAAGAACCCTCACCAAAAAATGACTGTCAGGTAAAGCTGACAATTGCAATGTAGCCCTTCTACAAAGGTTGGTGTAGTACAAGTACCACTCTTATTGTCACTTGTAAATATTCTAGAGAGGAGGTCACATTTTAAGCTGCTAAAAGCCAAAACAAGTGGTTGCTTCTTTCAGGGAGAAGCTGAGACTAAGCAAAGAAAAACAGGGGATAAGGCAGCCCAGAAGGTATGGCAAGTTCGCAGAAAAGGAGAATGGACATGAATGAAGAAGGCCACCTGGCTGGGTCTAACGGGGGGGACCACCTCAGAAATCAGCCCCTAAAAATGACGTTCCTTGAAAATCCTTTCTTGGGACATATACAGCGATGTTTACAGTATTCATTTACTTACTAGTTTCTGCTAGTCCTAGCTCTCTCGAGACTTTAAATACATTTGAAGAATGGAAGTGATGTGCTGGCTGCCACAGACCAAACTACTAAGGCAGAAGAAAACGCATTTAGAACATTTATCATTCAAACTGAGCCTCATTTCAAGTTCGGGTGCTTTAAAGGTGCTTCGATTCTGTTACTTCGATACAGGGCAGAGTCAGTGAACAGTTTATTCCAATGAAGCACTCCACCCAAAGGAAAGCACAGTGGGCAAGTCTTTATTTTAATTACTCCTATTGGGAGTCCCTAGTTTTGGACAACAACAAGGCATTTTATTATCCACTCTTTCCATTCCTTGAAGGCTTCCACAGGTTTGGGCAAATTCACGTTATCCTCACGACTGTGTTTCGGAGTGACTCCAGGTGTGCCAGCAGATTCACCATCAATCCACCTCACCAGCGCCTTGAAAAGCACAGCACAGGCTCATGTTAACAAAGCACAGCAAGAGAAAAACACTGGCTTCTAAATCAGGTTGTCTCAATCAGTGACTTCCATTACCCCATGAAGATGTTCCATTTGATAAAGATGCTTATGACTATGCGCCCACATACTGAGTGAAACAGCATGTACCAAAAATATACAAACTGTAATTACAAATGGCAATCACCAGTCTGCAGAGGAGAGTGAAAAGAAATACACTAATCCTCGCAGTTTTTTAGGGAGGGAGGACAAGTATTTTTTCTCAACTTGCTAAATGTTCCAAATTATACTGTGCTTTTAATCTGATGAGAATGTGCACACAAACCTAAGTGTACACGCAGCTAAGATACGTGAATGTGAAGACACATGTGTAGGCATAGGCTGCAGTCACCTGAATGAGGGTGAATTACCTGATGTATGCTGATATTTACATACTGAGATTATGTACTTTCCCTTTTCCTTCTCAAAATCTTCTTTTCCTTCTAAGGAATATCATACCTTTCTCTCATATTTGGAATGATAAATGACCTCCACATATTTAGATAGTTTTTCAAAATGAACTTTACCACATGTAGCAACACTTATTACCTTCTGCAAAGTCAAGCTCTCTTGCCCTAAACGAATGGCAAATACAGAAACCTCTTCCACGGTTTCTCATTGAACTACAAGTGTGAGGCACTCAGAGGCAAGTCAGTTTTTAAGGCGGCTTTTTTTGCATGTTTTTTTTTGAAACCGCACCTTCCTGCTTACCTAGTACTAATTTCCTCTGATAAATGACAGCTCCAGCTACCATCGTAGTTTGCTACTTATATAACCACTTCCCCCTTTTTGACAACCCCGGATTTACTTTGTATCTTTCTCTAATGTTGAAGCCAATAGCACACTGTAACTTGCGTAAACAGATGGGGCACAGATTTAGGGGGCGCCGGTCAGCTTCTTCCAAGTGGTTGGAGCCTTGCATTAGGCATGCAAGCCACTGGCAGTGCCGAACTCCAAATATGTGTCCGATCTCATGGGTGAGAGTCTGCAAGACATTCACATTGAGGCTTTATAGCGCCACCATCATCAGCAACCAGTTGCACACCCCTTGTCTTTCTTGCTTTTCCAAGAAACAAATTTACAGGAATCTGCCCAAAGACTTAAACCCTCATTTCCTTAAATGTCTTACTGCCTTCCTCACTATACTTTATTTAATTACCCCCGGACCAGGGTTTCTCAGCCTCGACACCACTATCCGTTTGGTAGGATCATTCTTTGGGGAAAGGAGGCCATCCTATGCCCTGCAGAATGCTGAGCAGCGTCCCTGGGTCTACCTACTAGATGCCAGGAGCATCCCCTCGCCAACTGTGACACTCAGAAATGTCTCCCGACATTGCCCAATGATCTCTGGGTGGTGAAATTGCCATTGGTTGAGGCCATTGCTCCAGACCAGTGGGGTCCGTGTTACCGTGTAGATTCTGGGCCGTTTCCCCAGAGATGCTGAGTCAGTGGGTTTGGGAGGAGGGGGCTTGACCTGCATGTTAACAAGCACACCAGGTGATGCTGGCGCAGGGGATATACACTGAAAACACTGCTCTGTGAGGTGTAGTTCTCCAACCCCAAAAGTGTCCTGGAGAAAGCAGAAAAGCCCATGTCCCGGGCTTTGGGAAATGAAACAGGAGGAGACAGGCTTTTCAAAGTGCAGCGGTGGGGGAGACTTCTGCAACTGTCAGCAGAACTAACTGCAGCAGAAGGTAGCCAGGAGCCCAGGAGGAAGGCCATTGTCCTTCTGAGGCCAGACAGCAGAGGTCTTCCAGGCCCCAGCAAGACAGCTTTGCTTGATGACCACGCAGCCTAAAAGAGTAGGTTCCCTACTCATACCAGAATTCTGGGCTTAAACTAATGGTGAGGATGTGGGTCTAGCCAAAGCTGCGTGTAACTAACAGGACACAAACCTAGCACAGCTACTGTAAATTTCCATATGAAGGTATCCATTTAAATTCTGCTTTTATTGATCATTTCAGTCAAGTAATAGCCACCAAAAATATACAAATGATACAGACTCATTTATAATATTACCTTCAGGACTGCTGTTGTACAACGTGGGGAACTAAGATCCCTTTAAAAAAATACTCCTGTTGGGTTTTTCAAACAACTCACCTTACAGGACCGAAGCAGTAACACACTGGTCACTTCAGGGATGTAATAGTTATCAAAAACGGAATAGTCACTTGAAGATTTTTGCTGCAGCGTCTTCACCTTGCCTTCATAGCGTGAGCTGTAGAAATCACTGCCATACCTGGCAAAGCTGAATATCCCCACACCTACAAAAAAAGGACAAGCCACAACAGAATGAGAGGAAGATTCCTGAAGGATAGCCCAAAGGAGAGCTTGCTGAGGCATCTGGTCAGCGAGTGCATATCTGTCCTCCTGTGTCCACGCAGTCCCATATCCTGGAGGCTTGCCAAGGCAAAGGCTTTCTCTATCAAAACCTTCTTGTACTATCCAGTTTGTCCTGCCCTGTAACACTCAATGGTCCTGAGGTCAAATTCTTGAGAAACTGGAAGTTCCAGAGGGTTTTGTTTTCCCACTATTTTTTCCCCCCCGCAAGGAATAGTCCAAATCAAGTACACCAAAGAAGAAATGAAAATGATCACATGAACAACACATGCTCATGTTTCTCTTTAAGAACACAATGAATAGCTCTCCATGCCCTATGTGTCAGTGAGGGTGGCTGGACTTCCCTCATGCCAATGCTACTGAGGAAACCCACTGACACTCACTGCCCCCGATGCTGGGAGACCACATTGTAGACCATGCCTTTACACAGAACACGGAACTTCTGCCCCTCCCGCCAACTTTTAAGCACAGCACAACTCTTACTACGTGGCTGATGTGGGGTGGTAACCAGAATAAACTCTTGTAATTGACTTCCTGTGTTAGGTCTTAGGCTCGTATCAACCATCTTTACACATATGAGGAACAAAGTTTGATTTACAACTCATTCTACAGGTAACTGCTTTGTAATATGACTTGTTTATGTTATCACTTTTATTTATGCCTCTCTTTCAGTTGTTGTTTAAAATAATGAATGTTTCTGTTACGCAAATGATTTCATAATAAGTTTGTCCAATGCAACTTGGTTCAAAGAGAATGGCTCCTCACCTAACCCTTAGAGAGGAGAGAATAAAGCCACTTATGGTAAGATGCTGTCTCACTGCATGGCAGGCCAATCCTGCTATCTTACTATTATAGTGTATATCATACACTATCTAAGAAACTTAATTTAAAAACAGAAATACAGTGAAAACATGTTTGGGGAAATGTTTCCTGACCTCCTCAAATGTATCAGATAAAATAGGTAGCAATATCTGGATAAACAGCTTTAAACTTTTTTTAATGTTCTCATTTCCATAAGATTAATGCTAAAAGAGGAGATAAAAATTTAACTCATACAAATTTAATTCTGATAGTTAGCTCAAACAAAAATCTGGAACACAGCAGCGACCCAAGTCTCCAAGAGAATGTGCCGACAGGGTCTTGCGGGTGGGGTGGAGCTATAAAAATGTTAGTGGGAAGATGAGACTCGATAGCACCCTGAGCCCCCACTTTGTATGAATGGGTGAGAAAGGTATCTAGTCAAAAAAAACATTTGTCATAGAGAGGCTAATGTGACATGCACACAGTCCATAAACTTGGTACTCATACAGTCCAGTCTCTGGGACTTACTCCCCATTCCCAGAACACTAATAGACAGTCACTCCCCTTAGTTCACTGGATTTTTCCCCTTCAAACCTGTCTTCGATCCTAGGGGATAAGGGTAGAGGAACAAGAGCAAAATGGAGGTGTGGGGAGAAGAGAAGAGGAGAGAAGGCAAAAAGAAAAAAATATAGGCAAAAATATGATTTGCTTTCTGGATACTTTCCCACACGCGATTATTACCATGTGGCGTTCCTAATGAGTCCAAGTTTATTATATCTCAAAGATTGAAGTTCACTTTTGTCAAATAAAATGGCAAAATGTTGAAAGACACAGGATACGAAGTATACACTTATAAAGCAGTGTGTGGTTACTCCATCTATGCAAGATGACTACAAAAAGAGCTGAAAAACAATTAGCAAGATTTTCACTTATGTTAATGACAGTTCAAATATCCTTAATTTAGTTCATCTTGGTACCGAATTACTTACATTTCCCACCTGTTGTGCTGAATGCCTGCCTGTATATGCACCAGGCATATATACACTTTTTAAAGATCAGCACTTCTATATAAATTATCTCAAAATGACTCTTGAATTAGGTATTATTAGCTGGAAGGTCATGCAGGTAGTGAATGAGGAACCCATATCATTCAAATCTATCAACAACACATTTCTCACTAAAGCATGATGCCGCACTAGAAATATCATACAGTTTTAAGTATCAAAATTATAATTGGTTGGAATTTCTCCCCTCATTCAACATCTTCAAATATTCTCAACTTGAAGTTTCTACCACCATGTCAAAAAAAGAATACCATCTGTCAGAGAGGCCTGTCCGAAGACAAAATTCCAGGAGTCCCTTGGGTAAAGATCAATCATTGTTATCCCCACAACACAGAAGGCATCTTCGGGTTTCTTCTTTTTTAAGAACTTCAGGATGTGCCCTATTTTAAAAAGAAATGTACATGAGTTTTATATATCTCTCCATAGCCTTTACTCAATTCAAATGGTAAAGGTGTTTAATTCACCTGCATGTATTTGTAGGTTTCGTGTGTTCTCGTTGACTCTAAAGGAGCACCTCGTTGCAGAGACAGGAACCGGTTCTAAGAGTTTTACCGTCAAGCCATAGAAAAATGCTTCACAGTAGCCTTTCAGCCATTTAACATATTCTTCACTGATCATTTTGGTGTTTCCTAGCGATCCTATAACATGAAAGAAAATGTAAAGACAGACTTTAAGATGATTAAAAGATTGTCTTTACCTGGGTCTATAATTAGGAATTTGGGACTAGCAACAAACCAACTCCAAGTTTTCAAAACACCTTTATCACTCATTGATGTCAATGTGAACGAGAAACAAAATGTCCTCTTTGAAGGCAGTTTGATTACAAAACCTCCACCACGGGAATGAATGTCAGAAATGACCATATAAACTGTCCCCTGGAATGAGGTCAAAAGCCCAAACTCTCCCTGGGCAACACCACCATTGCAAAGCCGAACCAAATCCAGCATATTACAATATATACCAATGCACTGTATATAAATACAGCATTTCTCTGGAGAGGGTGTCTTTCTGTAAGGATCATTGAAAAACTCTTCAAAGTCTTGGGGAGGCTCAGGATGGGAAGTGATCCAATCTGATGGAGAATGCAAGGTTATGGGTCGAAAGAGATCGCTGGCTGGCTGGAAGGCTTCACTCATCAAACGCCGCTCTCCGGACTCTAACTTCTCATACTGGGACACAAGCGCTGGGTTCTTTGAGATGAGAGCAGTTCTCAGCGTCTGTTCAGAGTGCCGTACTGTTTGCATCTACCAAGAAAACACATCTAGTCAAATGTAAAATGCATACCCATGCTGGTGACTTGAACCTACCGACCCTCCACATGCATCTCTAATTTCTCCCTAGAATGGAATGGCTGATTTCTAATGCCTTTAGAGGGGCCACACCGAACGACTGTTTGCTTTCACCATTTCCTATCCATTTCTTGGGGGGGGGGGGGGGGAGGGTATCCGAAAAAGTGAAAAGAAAATCATGACATTCATTCTTCCATCTCTTACGGTACCTGATCTCATTATAAAAACTAGTGGTAACCATGACAACATGACCTGATTTCCAATTTCCTTCTGCATTTGGGTAGTGACAATATTACGAATTGACTCATGTAAGGCCACATGAGAAATACTCATCCTTCCCAATGTGACTCAAAGATGTCCAAGACCAAACAAAGAACTAATGTAAGGCCTGCCGGTTCTCTAATTTCACTGCAGGCTGAAAATATATCTCAGCCACTGAAGTTCATCATGTCAAAGTCATGTCACCCTGGGCAAGACATCAGGTGACTAATCAAAAGCCAGACTCACAGTGACAGGTCTCTTCCATTCACTTTGTGTTCTTAGGTAGAGCTTTCATCCTTCCACATGAATGGGTCAGGCCGCTGTTCCACCACGAGGCTTTCTGAGTTAGAAAAGGAAAAAAGTGGGCATCTGTCTGGAACCTACCGTATTTTCCAGTTACCTAGACTTTTCCAATTGAATGATAAGACAGTTGATGGGGAAATGTACGCTATCGGCTGTTCAGGTTAGGACATCTGAATCCTCAAGGGGTCCAGGGTGTGGATAAAATCCAAACCTGAGGTCTCTATATCAAAGCTCCGATGGGAGCACAGAAACAAAGTCACTGCTCAACAAGCGGCCTGCAGTGTGACTTCTACGAGCAAGATGTGCCCTCCTGGGGTCTTCCTGTCTTTAGGAAGAAAGGTTCCCCTTGAAGTGTTTACCTTTCTAGGACAGGGAAGGGCCTGTCTGGGCCTGGTCAGAAAAGCTGTTGCGTGGGTTGCCTTCGCCCCAATAAAGAGTAGTGTTTAAAAAAAAAAAGCCTTATATTAAAAAGCCTCCCAGGTCTACGAGTGACAGAACTGGGTCACTTCAGTCCGTTGGTGGCCTGAAATCCTCCTGTCAGTGCTACCAACCAGCACATGGGTAAACCAGGGCAAGTTAGTCACCAGAGCTGGTTGCCTATAGCAACTCGCAGCTGGGGCTTGGCCCCGTGCAGGCGCGACCGGGTCCCGGGTTGGGGGTGGAGTAGGGGGTTCCCCCCGGGAGCTCAATGCTTTATCTTGGCTCCCTGAGGAGCTTCCTCACGGGCTGGGCCTTGCTCCCCGGAGACACCACCGCCCCCGCTGTCCTCCCTGCTTCCGCCGCGGTCTGCCCTACCCACATCCTCATCCCTCCGCACCGATGGCGACCGTCCCCATTCTCGAAACTGGGCGCCCAACCCTGGCGGCCCCGGCCGGATTCTGACGTTCCCACCGCACGACCTGCTCCCCGATAGGCCTCGACGTCGCCAGACAGCCGGCCTACCGCGGCGGCCCCTGCGCGCGTGCGCATCACGCCCGGCACCTCGCCAAGCTCCTTCGCGCCTCGCCCCGCCCCATCGCTCCCTGCCCCGCCCCCTTGGGCCCGTCACGCCCTTGCCACGCCCCGTGGTGTAAGGTCGTCTCTCTGGCGCCGTGCCCGGGTCCTGGCGGCGTTAGCTGCCCCCAGCTCCCTGAGTAGAGGAGGATCGCCAGGGGGCGACGGGGCGCCGGCGTCGGCTCCCGCGGTCGCCTTTTCCCCGTTGGCCCTCGCGGTGGCGCCGCCACTGCTCTGTCAAAAAGCAGGCCCCGGGCGGTACTGGGCCCCAGGGAAGCTGGTGGGAGGCGCCCCGCGCCGGAGGCCGCGTCCGTCGGCGGCGGTTCCCCTTGGGGCCGCGCCCGCGTCGCCGACTTTGCATGTTTGTGAATGTGTTCGGTGGGCCGTGCGTTTGCGAAGTGCCCTCTGCGTGACTAATTCACTAGCCTGGTCCAGAATCACTCAGCCGTGGCCGGAGGTTGACGCACAGCCTCGGCGCGCGTTCCCTGGTGCCGTCACCCGCTGTACTTTCCCTTCTTTATTTGGTTGCGACGACTGCAGCCGCCGGGGCGCAGGGAGGCGCCGCCGCAACCGCGAGGCGCAGGTGCAGCGTGTGCCGTAGCGAGGCGGGCCGAGGCGGCTTCTTGGCCAAATGACGCCGGCAGGGTTTCTCTTCAACCTCGGGGATGCCGCGCTCGGCGTCTACGGCTGAAAAGACCGAAACTGCGACTGCCAGAGCGAGGCTGTGAAGCAGACGAAGCCCCTGGTTGCCATCGGCCCTGAGTCACTCTGTGTGGCCTTGGGCAGGCCGCTTAACCTCTCTGTGCCTCGCTGGCCTTCAGTGCAAGATGAGAGCGCTCTGGACCCCAAGGCCCACTCCGGTCCCGAGAAGCTGAGTGTATCAAAGCAGAGGACCCCCCCTGACCCACCCTTGTGCAGCTCCCTCGTGCATCCCAGCGCCCACCGGACGTTAGGACATGGTCGGCGGTCCAGCTGGCTCAAGCCACTGAGTACTGCCAAGGACAAATCACGACCTAATGGACAGCCCCTCTCCTTTCCAGGGTCTGGGCCTCCAGCAGGCCCCCAAACAAGCCCACCCTCGCCCACACCCTCCTTCTTGTCCAACTCAGTTCAGGCTTCCCCGGGTTGGTCCCGTGCGCTCCTCGCAGCTCATCCTAGCAACTTCCTACAAAGGAACCTCCAGGAAGCCCTATCGCATTATTCCCTGTTTCCCCAAACCTCCACCTTTTCCCACAGGCGCTCTTCCAATACCTCACCTGAAGGGACACCCAGCTTTCCTCCCTGGTCATCACCTCTTCCTTCTGAGCCTTCACTCAAGTACACTCCTAACCTCTGTTCTTCATTTGCAAGCCACTGCGCTACCACTACAAAGCAACCTCTATTCTTTTGAAGTTTCAGGACATTTTACCATACTCTGGTGTTTCTTCATCCGAATTCTCCTTCCTTCCCAGTCTCCAGGAAGGACACACACACACACACACACACACACATTTTTTTTATGAAAGTCAGCAGTTGTCTAATTGTTATCTTCTCCACCCTTAACCTCTTGTTGACGCTCCTTAGAGGACTTCTACTTCGTAAATGTTTCATCTTTTTAAACTCCAGTGATTGCCTCAGCCTCTCGTTGGTTCATCCCTGGATCTTGAAATCTCAAAATTCATTCTTTGACCACAGTGCCCATACCCATCCTTACCTGAACCCGTTCCGTAAAATGCACTCATACCATGTCTTCTCAAAATTTCAAACTGAGAACATTGATGCATCCGTCTCACCATGCCCAAAAAGTGGTGGGCATCCTTGGATGTTGTGCCTTTTAATTGAATGCCCATTTCGGGGTATCACAAGAGTCCGTGTAGCACAGGGGCTCAGATCATGGCCTCTGTTTGAACCCCAGAAGGTCCACTTGTTAGCATGTGACCTGCATCAGCTACTTAACCTGTTATGAATCTCTTCCCTGGTTTGTACAACAGAGATAGTAACCGCACCAACCTTACAGAGTTTTAGGGGTCAAATGAATAACTGGACTTTGTGCCTTTTGGTTGAATGGCCTTCTGATATTCCTGAGAGGCTTCTTTAGCTCAGTTATCACCTCTTCCATAAAGCTCTTCCTAACCCCGCCCCCCTCAAGACAAAACTCTGTCTTCTACAAGGTTCATTGTCTTGTGCATATCTGATATCATTTTTCTTACCCACAAGGAGTGTAACCTCGTTCTTTTATTTTTTAAGATTTTATTGGGGAATTGGGGGGATGGGAACAGCGCTGGGGAATCGGGGAAGGGGAACAGACAAGTTGCCGTCCTTTTGTTCTTCAGTCTAGTTGTGGAGGACGTCGCTTCACTGGCCCATGTTGGTATTATCATTGTGCTCTTCCCGGCTGAGGCAGTCGCTCACCGGCCATTGGACGGCCACTCAGGGTGGCTCAGGGCACTTCACAAAAGCACACGCCAGCTGCCAGTTAGCCCCACTGCAGCCTATGCCATCACCAGTGACTCCCGGCAGCCCAGCTCCAGGTTGAGCTGTTGTTCAGCATCTTAGCTGTAGAGGGCAGTGTCACTGGCCCTCATATGTGGTATCCGAACCGGGACCCTCTGGCGTCCCAAGCCAGCTCTTAACCAGTGCGCCACTCGGCCAGCCCCCAAGGGTCATTTTCTAGCCAGTGTTCTAGAAGCAGAGTACATACAGTAAGTAGCCTGAGTCCCACTAATGAGGGTGCAGATCCTGAATCCTTAAGCACCCCCCCTTGTTTTTATCCCCTATACCTTACTGCCCACAATGCCTCTCACGTGTCATAACCAACCCATTTTAACATGAGAATACATTAAGAGGGTTTTAGTCATTCTAGTATGAATCCATATCTGCTCAGTTTGCTTTTTTCTAGCTCTTAGCTGGTCTAAGGAAATGGTAGCCTGATTGGTCAGGAAGTGAGAATAGGTGGGTAATTTGGGGTCACAGAGCCCCTTAGCAGGAGAGCAGCCCAGAGCAGGTAAGGCAGATTGAAGAGGGTGCTGTGATCCAGGGCCTTAGGACACAGGGACCTGGATGCCACAGGGGAGTTGTGAAGATGGAAAAGAAAGTTAGCTGAGGTTTGCATTGTGCTCAGAGCCAGGGTGAGATGTGGAGAGCGAGAGTTGGCTGGTTTCCTCCGTCCTGCACAGCATATAACCTGTCCTCAAAGACCCAGAGCGCAGCTACAGTAGGGGTAGAACAGTATGTGCAAGTGAACCTGAGCACCAGTCACCCTGGAAATACGGCATCGAGAGAAAATAAGCCTGCCTTCCAAACCACCAACTTATAACCGATCTTTTGGACCATGTCCTGCTTGCAAACTGAGGCTTGATTTGCCTGTAATGGGCCAGACCTGGTAGTTCCAAGGAAGAGAGGCCATTAGCAGAAATGAAAAGCGAGAAATCTTTTAGTCCATTAGGTTAAAAGGGGATTTTTCTATCTTTTATTATTTATGATTTGTGACTTCAGTTACTCTTTCCCAGAACAAACTGTTACAGTTTAACCAACTTTCTGGTGCAAATGGATGCTTATCACCCATCATACTACAAACTGCTCAGCAGACACTCAGCCCTATGGTGCTGTGGCCTTTTGTGCAGTTCTTTGACGTGTTGTCAGGCAAGTTATTTTCTGTGCCTCAGTCAGTTTCCAGAAGCTACCTCAGCCTGGTGTGTGTGTGTGTGTGTGTGTGTGTGTGTGTGTGTGTGTGTGTGTGTGTGTATGTGTGTGTGTATCCCCATATTTATCTTGCCAACGAATACAATAAACTCAACGAAATGAGCAAAAGTAGACCTTAGTTTTTACTTTAAGAATGTCGCTCCTAAAAAATAAATAGGGGGTCCCAAGGATCTCCCGCAGCATTGGGACTACCTGGTGGGAACTAACAAACATGGCTTGAGGAAAGGCAGAAAGAGTAGGTGAAGCGGCCTCTGTGACCTCGGTAGGATGCCGTGACCCCCCCAGGTGATTTCCCTACACTGAAGGACGCCAGTGTGGTCTCCCGTGCTGTAGGTACTTCTGAAATTTTCAGTTTTTCTTTCACGTTCCCCTTTTCAGTTTCCGAAAAGATGGGGGTGGAGGAGTTTAATGAGACACAAATGAAAGAGGAAGTGTCTCAGCCCTAACCAAACATAAATCAGCCCACTCAGTTATCTAAATGGAAATACTGAAGACATCCTCTGCGTCCTTGTCGACTTTCTGAGGGAGGGGACAACAAGCTTCCCTCTGGCCAGGTCTTTGCTGGAAGCTGAGGACAGGCGACTGCCTATCTGAAAATAGACGGACTGGGGTCTTCTGATGAGCCTGAGGCAGGAAAGGCCTCCTTGTCCTGGGTGACCCTCAAGGCTTCTTCCTCACAAGCTGGAAACCACTTTGCTCACAACACAGAGATGTCCAGGCTGTGTTAAATGCAGGTGCCACCTGAGGCGGCAACCCTAGGACAATGGACCATTAGTACCTGGCCTCCAATTCACCCTCCAAGTCAGTCAGCAACACCCGCTGAACAGCTGTGGGGTCCAGCTGGTGCTAACGTGGGGACAGGATGGAGGGACTGACAGTCCTCTGATGGAGGGGACGTGAAGACATATGACAGTGGCCAGTGATGGAACCAAGTGTGGTGCAGAGGAAACAGGCAAGAGAGCGTCGCTAGAGGTGACACTGGAGTGGTTAAAAAAACCCATCTTTTTCAGGCATTCTAAAAACACATTTCTACCTGAGTCAATGTAACGAAAGACCGTGGTAAGACAGACTTACAATAGAAAAATCTGGAAGGACAGAAGAGTAAACAAAAGAATAAAACCACCTCTGTCCTTCTGCCCAGAAATTACCTGTGTGAATGTTGGCTGAACTCTTACTTTGTTGTGGTGTGCATTTTTTAGCATAATTGTGACCCTACAGGGCCTCCAAAATCGTACGTACTGATTTTTCAGTCTGTTTCTTTCTTATTCCAGAAAGAATTCTCTCTACACAAGGATGTTCATCACAGCGTCGTCCACTGTCCTGAAAACCTGAAAATGAATGAATGTTCATCATTAGCATTTCGGTCAAATCGAGTCATAATCTTCACAATAATATATGATGTAATCATTAAAAAGCTTGATCGCTTGCTGCGTTTATTAACATGGAAGGATGTCGCCAAGATCTTGTTGGATTTTTTAAAAAGTTGTCAAAACAGTATATTCTATTTTGAGCCTATTTATATCACAACATGGGTCTGTGTGTGTGTGTGTGTGTGTGTGTGTGTGTGTGTGTGTGTGTGTGTGTGTAAAGAAGATCTTTGCCAAATAGTAATGGTGCTGGTTCTCTCTAGAAGGAAGGCTTTCTGTGTTGTTTGCTTCCTTCTCTATATTTTTAGTACTATTAAAAATTTTTTTGGCAATGAGCACTTCTTAGTTTTATATATTTTTAAATTTCATTTTGAAAAAAATGTATTTAAATCTACACTTATGGATATAAAATGTATCTATTATATAGTGAGTGAAAATGAGAGTTACAAACCTATACATAGTATGGTATCATTTTGGCATTTTACATTTTTATATGCAGATTTACATATTTTATATATATAATTGCAAATACAAAAATATATACATTACAAATGTTAGGTATAAAATTTACATATATGGATGTATAAAACTAGTTTAAAAACCTAGCTTGTATTTTTAAAATAATAACTCCGTGTTATATTTTAAACAATATTTCCATGGGTGGGAGCCATATTTGTCACTGAGCTTTGGAGAAGTGGGGACTGGCCATTGTGGGACAGTCCAGGCTGAGGGAACAGCTCGTACCAAAGGCACAAAGTCACAACAAAGCCTGGCGTTTGTCAGTCGTATCGCCCCAGGCATCTGACACCACAGACACCTCCCTTCTAAAACTTTCTTCCTTACCTTTCTGGGTCACGGTTCTCTTTGGGATGCCCAGTGGTACCAGTTAGCCAAGCAGGCACTGGGGGGCCCTGAGGGAATAAGACATGGGCCAATTGACCTTGGCTTTGTTGGGTGGGGATTAATCGTGAGGATTAAACCGATCTAGTTCATACTTTTAGAGAACAGAATCTGTGGTCAGTGGACTGGGGTTCAAGTGGAGGCACCACTGCCCCCGTCGATGTCCTGTCTTAGACAAGATACTTTACCTCCCTGAGCCTCAGGGTCTTTTAAATAAGACTCAGGGAAAGCCCCTGACAGCTAACTGTTTATTATCAGAAGAAGCTGACTAGAGTAAGAGCATGGCAAAACCCTAAAGGCAAATATGCAAAGCCCTGACATTGCAGCAGGTCATTTTTTGCTAACAAGCCCACACTCACGACAACTACTTGTGACACATCCTCGTGGTTGGACATGTCGGTCACAAGTTCTAATTGTGGAAATAAATACTCTCTGACAAACGGCCTGTTGACATGAATCACCACAGTGGTTTAACGCTGTCGGCTGGCAGGAGCTCTCCTCAGAATGGCTCAGAGATATGTACATTCCAATGAAAACCAAGCAGCGATTTGATAATCATTTTCACCCAGTAGGATTCATTCACAGTCCTGACCATAACTGGCTTCTGAAACAGCAGGTGATAAATACAGCTTGCTGGGTTGTCCTCCCTTTCCTCCTCCCTGATAGCCCCTTCTCTCGAATTTCCTCCCATTTAGAGTCTTTCCTTTTACACACACACCTCTGTTAATTCAGGATCCGGCCTGGTAACCTAGAAAAAAAATTTTAAAACAGTAATTCAAATAACTTTAGTCTGCGCGAAACTCAAGAAGATTCTACTTAATGTGGGTAGCTACAAAGTGGCTTCAAAACCGATTAGGCTTTTATTGCCAGCCCTGGGTGTGAGAGGGTGCCATGACGTTACTTTCCTTCAAGGGTAAGTATTTCTTCCTCAATGTTTGGATTTCTTATCTGGAGTCTTCTCGAGCTTGTTTTCTGAATTGTCAGGGTATTTGTTAACATTTAAAGCTCTTCTGTGCATGAGTCTATGGCAAGGCAGTCAGAAGCACATACATGGAAGGGTGGCCCTGAGATCTTGCTGGATTTTTTTTTTAAGGTTTCAAAACAGAATCTATAACTTGAGCCTATTTACATAAAAACATTGCTAAAGAAGTTGTTTGCCAAAATGTTATTCATGGTCAACAATCATGGGGAAAAGCCATGAATTTGAGTCCCAGCTGTGCCATTTACTGGGGCGTGTGACCTGGGACAAGGAGTTACAAAGCTTCTCTCAGTCTATTTCTTTATCTCTGAAACTGGGATAGAGAGTTGTGAGAATTACATGAGCTAGTAAGTACTCAGTAAGTGCTACTTTGTATGATTCTGCATAGACCCTGAAGAGTTGGATGCTTCCCTTTGACGTATTAGAGACCCAGAAAAACAGAGTACAGCAGTTGAAATAAAACAAGCTTACTGACATTGGATGCCAGCTGGGGGTGATCCACACACTGAGAACGGATCAGGTTCCTATTATCCAAGTTCACAGACAGAATGGTGTAGAAAAAACCCCCAATGCCATTTAATGGTCACCTTCAGAGGGCTGAATACATAGGTTCTAGGTCAGCACATTCACTCCCAGGAGGCATGAGAAGCCAAATTCTAATGTTTTCCTGGTAAACGGGGATTTCTTGGGAGGACCCCAATGGCCCCTGCTACCCAAAGGCCTGGTAAGTCTATCTCCACGATGAGATCAGAGTTGTCCCAGACCTGGAATTTTGGTGCTCCCGGACAACGTTAAAGAAAAATGGCCAAAGTTTGTCTCTTTGACCCTCCATTTTCTACTGTTGACTAAACCCCTTTCTGACGGGCACAGTCTTAAGATACGTTACATGAGAAACTCCCAAGTGTTTTTGTAAATATGCTTTTCTGCCATGCTCCAATCACAGTCAAGTCTTGCTGAAGGACCCATTCTGACCTCTTAAGGAAGATGACTGCATTCCTTTGTTTTAACCCGTATGCCTTAGTTCTGTACTTTAACACTCCAAGTAGGGCTGCCAGATACACACAGGATTCCCGGTTACACTGTAATTTCAGATAAACGATGAATATTTTTTTTAGCCTAAGCACATCCCAAATGTTGCATGGGACATACTCACACTGAAAAACTCGGTGTCGTTTATCTGAAATTCTAATTAATTGGGCACCCTGTCGCTTTATTTGGCAAATCTTGGCAACTCTGTCTCCAAGGGAAATCTCAAATTCTGGAGGAGGTGGTGGCTTCACGGGCTGCTCATGTAACGTATACGCAGTTCTGGAAAGCTAAGAAAGGTAATTCTATACGCCCACAGCCACATTCCACTCAAATATCTCCCCATGCAAGGCACAGCGCTGGGTGACTCTGGGAGAATAAGGTCTGGTAAAACACGGGCCCTGCCCTCAGGGAGCTTACAGTGTAGATTATACAAATAACGGCAACACAGGGCAGAACGCAAAAGTCATACCGAAGGTGCTCCAAGCATTCGGGCTCAGAGGAGGTCACATCTGCTTGCAGGGGCTAAATGAAGAAAGGCTCCTTGTAGGGGTGGCACTTAGATGCACTTAAAAAAATATCAGCAGGTGGAGATGGGTAGTCTGGCATTCCTGGTGGAGGGAGTGACTTGAGCACATGTAAATTAGGGGGACAGAAAGAGGCATATTTGGTGTCTTCTTTGCACAGAGTATAGAAGATATAAAGAGGCCACAAAGGGAATAAGGCTGGAAAAAGCAGGTTAAATAAACATGCAAACAAAAAAATAAGCCAAAAAGAGAACCCAGAGTCACAGCAACTTCTTGCGAATACAATTTTCCAATACTGAAATGTTCCCAAATAGTGTCTTGGAAGAGGAGGTGGGGGGTTATCTTGCCCTTCAAGGAACTGGTTTTTATCACATCTTGAGTAAGCTGCATTCACGAATGGTTGCCGCTGCCATTTAACTCATTCTTGGATTCAAGCAAAGGGCATGAGAAATAATCCGGTATGTTTGGGCAAAGCAGTGACATCTGGGTGAAGGTGGCCCATGGAAGAAAATATGGATGTCTCTTGCTTTGCAGACTAGATACAGTCCAGAAAAGTTGGCCAGGGAATGAATTTCTGAAAAAAGGAAGTTTATTTCCCTAGTTTCAATAAAAAATGAGAGTGCCAGGCTCTGGAGCCTAATTGGCTAGTTTATTATGTGGCCTTTGGCAAGTGTATAAGCAAAAAACTCAGACGAGACACAGTGTTCTTATCTGTACAATGAGAAGGTGGCGTGGCCCAAATTGCTGCATTTGCCTCCAGCCCATGAATGCAAAGGAAACCTCTTAGTGATGAAGGGGTCAGCAGTGTGGCTATCTGAGTGGGTACCTGTGGTTGGATGAGCCCTTTCTCAATAAGATTAAAGTAGATTAAGCAACTACTAGGAACCAGCCATTATGAAGCGTGCTGAGGGGTGGGACCATCCTGCATCCCTCGAAGAATTAGATGCCACCTGAAAAGATAAGACATATTGAGCAGTTTGTTACAGATGTGGCCCATAGTGGCCAACATCGCCTAGTATTTACACCTGGTATTCAAAGTATTCATTCTTGAATCTGGGTATCTAAATAGAATTTGACAGAGGGGGCACCATACCAGCTCTAGGCCTATGCTGTAAGAAAGCTTGGTGGATTCTGCCTTTACACTTGGGTGCCCTGGGCTATCATGTAACAAGTCTGACGGTCCTGTCGGAGAGGTCACGTGGCAGGGCCATGTGGAGAGGCCACATGGAGAGGTCACATGAGAGGGAGAGGCCCTGAGACTCCGTGAAGGAGAACTGAGGAACGCAGCCAGACCTGTGCCCCTGGTGGAACCGATCCAGCCAGTGCCAGACTTCAGAGCCAAATCAGCTAGGTCACCTGACATGGGGGCGGTGACGTCATCTTGGATGTTCCACCCAGACAGAGACCAGCCAGCCCGCTGTGCCTTGTTTAAATTCTGGACTGGCAGATCTGTGTGCAAACAGCATTGCTGCTTGCTGTTTTTAAGCCACTAAGTTTTGGGTAGTCAGTTAGCAATAGGTAATGAAACCTCATACTCACAGGAAAGGCAAATATGGCCATAAAAATGTCAGGAATCTCTGCCGTCAGGCTGGTCAGATTTCTCGGGGGTCAAAAGAAAGGACATGTCCAGTTTAACCATAGGCAGGAACACTTCCTATTGGGGGCCAAACAGAAATCCCCTGAGGATCCCAGTTTTTTGGACTCAGACAGGCACCCTGGGGAGTTCCGCGGCTCTTGCTCCCAGAGCACTACTTGGACAGGCAGGTGTGCCCCATCTGCCGGGCAATAGCAAAAGCCAGAAGAGACAGGAGGAGTGGAAGGGGGATGGAGGCAGAAAACCAGCCCATGAAGCAGCACAGGCAGCTGCCAGGGGCTCCTTCAGTCAACCCAGGACAGGAAGCATCTCGGAAGAGACATACCAGGAAGGAGTATGTCTACATTCAGGGCAGGCTTCATGGAGCAAGGACAGGTGCTGGGCTGTGAAGGCTGCAGGCTTCACTGGGGACGGGAAGGGACAGAGAGTTCTGCACACAGGGGACAAGGCTCTGAACCTATGCAGGCATCCCAGCTGTGCAGATGGGTCATTTGGGGTCAGTGTGGGGGCGAGAGCAGGAGAGGCTGGTGAAAAACCTGAATGTGAGGCCAAGGCAGCAAACGGACCAGACTGTGACTGGAGGCCAGGCCTGGCTCTGGGGCATCACAGACCCCCAGCAGCTAACACGTCATATATGCTCAATAAATACTTGCTGAATGGATGAACTTCGCGTCTAGGTCACGCGGAGGTACTGAAGCTATTTCCACAGGGGGGGCCCAAGTGAAAGAAGTGACACAGATGCTGGGGTGGCTAGCCAAAGGGGAGACTGGATGAAAAGGGCCCATGAGGCTTCTGCAGGGTCCCCAGGACAGGAGCTGAGGCCCAGGCCGAGGAGGGGGCTGCAGAGATAGAGATAAGGGATGGGGGAAGCATCACCCTCAGGAAGAATTCTACCAGGATGGGCTGCCATGGTAGCAGAGGGTCTCGGAGCCCCGGGTTCTAGTCCAGCCTTGCCATTAAATCGCCATGTGCCATGGGCAAGTGGCTGCCTCTCTAGGGCTCAGCTCCATCTCTGCGAATCAAAGGTGTTGAAGAAGTTTTCCTTCTGCTCTGAGACGTGGTGATTCTGAGATTGGGTGACTAAGATGAAGCATGGGTGGGGTGGTGTCAGGGAAGAGAAGGAACTGGACGGGTCAAGGACGGTTCCGAAGAGGGTTATGGAGACAATGATGTGGCTGTGGCCAGAAACAGGAAGTCGGAAGGGAGAGCTGGGCCAGGCGGGAAAGGCGATGTGTTTACGTGAGGGAAGTTTAGAGGGGATGACAGTCTCCAGAGCAAATGGGCAGTGGAGGCATAAAACCACAGCCAGCGGGAACAGTCCTTCCGTGGCCCCCAAAAGATACCCAAGTCCTAATCCTTGGAAGCTGAGGATGTTACTTTATATGGCAAAAAGGTATTTGCGGGTGATTAGATTAAGATCTTGAGATGGGGAGATTATCCTAGATTATCTGGGTGAACCCTAGATGCCATCACGTGTATCCTCACAAGAGGGAGGCAAAGGGAGAGTTGGCACGTGGAGGAGAAGGCCATGTGAAGACGGGGCAGAGAGAGATGTGAAGACGCTGCCTTGAAGCCTGAGTGACATGGCCACAAACCAAGGGACGTCGGCAGCGCCCAGAAACTGGAAGAAGCAAAGAACAGGCTCTGCAGTTGGAGCTGCCAGAGGGAGCACCGCTGAGCGATACTGTTTTCAGACATCTGGCCTCCAGAACTGTGAGGGGAAATACTTCTGTTGTTTTAAACCGCCAAAAGTTTGTGGTCATTTGTTACAGCAGCCACAAGAAATGAATACACTTGCCATTGCGAGACTCTTAACTCATAGCCGGGTCCCCTTTACCTGGGCCCCAGGTTACCATGTGTTATCTCTTATTCCTCGAAGAGCCTGTGAGGCAGGAACTGTGAGTGGACCCACTTCCCACAGGAGGAAAATGGGGTGTAGAGAACCTTCCAAAGGTCACAGAGCTGGCCAATGACAGAGCCGATTCACGCTGAGACTTGAGAAGGAATCCTCTTAACCACTCTGCTAGTCTATCTCCCAGCTAAACACACATTCCTAAAAATGTTACCTATGCAAGGTTTCGGGTTCTGGTAACACAATCAGTGTCTTATTCTCACAACGTTATTAAGTATAACAACCACACTTCAAAATCCCAACTCAGTCACAGGGTTATAGTTATATGTCAGTCTTGTAACGGGCCTTCGAGCATCTATCACCTGTGACCTGTTATGTCACAGGGGAGCAAACTGGGACGCTCAGAGGGGTGGCTTGGTCAAGGTCTTAAAACTGGTCCATTGATGTTAGAGCCAGAATCACAAGCCAGTTCAGAAGGTTCCTACCCAGCACACTGACACTGACTATATTTTAGGAGCAAGTTAAGCAGCTTAAAAGTGGAAAGACATGCTGGTTTGCTTGCAAGACTCTTGCTACTTAAGACAGTCCCAAGACCACTCTCCAGAATTAAAATGTAGTCATACACGAGCACACTGGGCATGCCAGGTATGATGGCTGCCACCACCAGAAGATGCACAGGGAAGCATGACTGGGCACTTCCCAGGGCGCTCTCCAATGGAACAAGCTATTGGATTAATGAAGAGGGAGAGAGAGAGGGAGCACGCAAGCGCGCAACCTGTTCCCAGAGCTACTTTGCATCCTGGGAGCTTTCTCAGCTGGGCTTGCATACCTTACTCTCCAACCTGGAGGAAGCCTCAGTGATTCTCCATTCTTCACAAAGGACGTAAACCTCCTACATAGCTCGCAGGGCACAAAGCAGAGGCAAACGTTCACAATTAGCATGTTTTCTCCCCAATCCGTTGGCTTTGCACCTTTGCACTCAGGTGTCTAGATTTTCAATTCCTCTCTGAGGTGATATACTTATAAATGCCTTCCTGAATTTATTTTGCTGCCTGTTATACCAGCAAACCCACCTTGGGCAAGCTGGACTGCAAGGCAGTGGGTCCCAGGAGGGTGCCTAACGGAACTGGATTCAGCCAGAGACCATACGTGTTCTACTTTTCTATGTTCCTGGGGCCAAAATGAGACTGGGGTCGGGCAACCTGGGACCCCACTTTTCTATATCTGTCTTGCCTGAATTAAAATGGTTTGAAAAATAAATATTAAACCCTTCATCCACTGAGGAATGTTTAGTATCTGCCTGTATGTATTTTGTGTTTTCCCATAGTAAACATAGAGTAGAGCTGAACTCTGTTGGTTGGTCACTGGTCACTGATTTAATGATTTATACCTGTAATAATCACAAGACTGAGGTGCACAGCTTCCACACTCTGACCCTACCCCGTTTTATTGCTGTATTCTCTTTCTCAATATTTCTCTGAATTTACTAATATTGCATTGATGTTATAATACAGATGTAGTGGTTAAGTGCAAAAAAAAAAGACTGGGTGCACATGTATTTTGCTTAACGATCCTATTAATATAAGGCTGAACTTCGCCAACTGTACCTTCTCCCTTAGACGACCAATATCAACACAACTTCTTTCTCAGGGAACTTTCAGCTCAAATCTCACCTCTGGGTGGTGAGAGTGATATAGCCTGAGAATTTCACACATTGGTTTCTGGGTTCTTTGGGGGGAAATTTTCAAGTTGAAAAACAAAAAAAAAAACAACAACAAAGAATGGGTTGAGAGGGAAGAAGGAAGACAAAGAAAGCAAAGGGTGTGAAAAAGAACAACATAAAAAAAAAGATAAAATAGGGCCAGCCGAGTGGCTTGTTGGTTAAGAGTTCGCTTGGGAGCGCAAGCTCTGAGCAGCAGGGCCCGGGTTTGGATCCCACATGGGCCAGTGACACTGCGCCCTCTACAGCTAAGATGATGAACAACAGCTCGACCTGGAGCTGGGCTGCCGTGAGTCACCAGTGACGGCACAGGCTGCAGTGGGGCTGAAGTGAGCTGCCGTGAGCTGCCGTGAGTGGCCACCCAATGGTCGGCGACCAATCTGCCTCAGCGGGGAAGAGAGCAATGATCACAATACCAACATGGGCCAGTGAAGCGACGTCCTCTACAACTAGACTGAAGAACAAAAGGAC